AAACTTACATTATTATCTACAATGAGAACTCGGTCCACTCTTTACTCTCTATAATTTCATAATAAACTCTAGGAGGCATAGTAATCATTGATTAATTACGCGTTGTCATAATTGAGCGCGGTCGGAGCGGCTTTTCACATTATTACGCGAATTATCGCGAGAAATTAACGTTATATCGATTACTGATATTGTTTCAACGCACAGATGTTTTAATTTACGATTGTGTCACATGTCGTAGAATTGTAGTATTGTCCAGTTGGTTTGAATATTTAAAAAAACATGTGTGTACTTATGTACACGCGTTAGAAGTTATACTTCTTTGGCTTAACAAAAATCTTGTCAAAAAATTTATTCTACGTTTGTAGAAAAAACGACAATAACAATAGAACAAACTAATATGTTGACTATAGCTAACTTCAGGGTGTCGGGTTTTTGTGACGGTGTGCGCGCACATAGTAAAATTTACTCAAAAGGAGTATAACTTCAAAAATCGAATTAAAAAAAATCGATTATTACATAAAGTCCATGTCACGTTTAAGACACGACCTCCGACGGAGTGAAGACCTTCTCCAAATTCGTTCACTTGTAGACATAGACAAACAAAAACACTCACACATAAACACACAGAATAACAATAATCAAAGAAAAAAAATTATAATGAGAGATCAATTTTTTTTCCCTTTTCCCTTTCGCTTGTTTTGTCTCTCATCCTGACCACCATTTTCCAATCCTTTCCCGCTATTACTTTATTCCATACTCCCAGGTTTCTGGTTGGCGTGCTCTCATTTTTTCAAATACGTCACGAGAAACTCGTATTTAATAAATGAGTGGAAAATCCGCGAACAAACTATATGACCTTGATTCGTGTCATTCAGGCTTTGACACAAGTTACGAACTATTTTAATCAAACTTGGCATCCGTGCTTTGAAAATCTAGACTGACTTAGCGTTACTTAATAAGTTACTTTTTGTATGCGTGAATTTAGCTACTAAATTTGCATAATTGAGCTAGGCTGTAAGATGCATAGAATAATAAGGAACTTACTTGCTCTTTCTAAAAGACGTCATTATATTCTATATAATTCGAATTCGTTGTTTAAAATGTGGAAATTTAATGAGACTTGATTATTTTAAGGATATGCTAATAATAGCATAAACATGGGTATTGTAACATCAATAAATGTACGTATATTGGTGAATTATACTTCTAATTAATTGCGATATTTGTTTTAAAATAAGTGTTGATTAGTCATTTTGTATGATGATTTGCTATTTTAAAAGAGTACCGACAGTTTTTTACGCCGGCTTTTTCTCTCGGCCTACACCCTCTGTCTTCTTTGCCGATGAGTAGAGATGTGTACCGATTCAAATTTATTGACGTGGAATAAGTGATACCTGTATCTTATATTCCATAATAAACATATTAGTTTTTATAAAAATCTATTTTTATTTTGAACATACCTTAGCAACCTACAATCTATGACTACTATAAAATTGTATAATTATTCTGACAGCTATGGATGTGTGGAGGAAGGATGGGATACTGTTCCTCCAACCTAAAGGGAGGATCCTCACCCAGTCTTACAACTGACTGGTCCGAAGACCCCAGTGGCTAAGCTCGAGAAGTTCTAGGAGAACTGAGAGAAGAGAATTTCGTGAAGGCTATACCTTTGCGGACGGAATTGTTTCGTCAGCGCGTGTCAGAGTATGACGTCATCTCAGTGATTTTTAAGGGCAGGTAGTATGTAGTAGATGTCGCAACAGTTGTATGTAACTTCTCTCTTAGCCACTGGGGCCTTAAAGCCGGTCAGCGTTCAGACTGGTCGAGGATTAAGGTCAGAGGTAGGGCAGCATCTTTCTTCTTCCACAAACCAATAATCCAGAAGAACTAACTCTTATTAGCGAACAATTCCGACCCCGTCTTTAAATTTGAGATTTTGTACCAAGCGATTCCAAAATTGCAACAGCAGCGCTACGGATATTGAAAGAATAAAAGAAATTGGGCTCAATATAATAGAAATTATAGAGTATCGGCGCAAGCGCAGAACCCAGAACCTGGATAGTATTCGTATGAAAAGACGCTAATATCGTATTAATATAGTTAGCATGGACTTGTTAATCGGCGGCATACTATATATTATGGTCTACTACGATCGATCAAAACGGAAACTTATATTTTTACAATGAAACACATACGATAAAAGGAATTCGTTAGTAATTAGTGCTGAAATTTATGAGGTAAAATCTTTGAATGCAAGAAGGTTTCTTACTACTACCATTAATTAAATTTAAAATGAAAAATTGTAGAATATTAAGAAACGGTCTTGCGGTTCGTGATAAAAATTCTTATTGAATAGCTGTGATATTCTTGCTGCATTCGATGGTTTTAAATATTTTACTAATATTTTTCTGTAAATTATAAAGTTTCGAGATGAGAAAATTATAAATAATACTGAAATAGCCATTTAATGTTTTGTCGTTATCACTTTCGTGTCAATTTGCAAACAATTGTATCCAAACATTCATAAGCTTATCATTAGTAGTTGTATTATATAATATTCGTTCTTATTAAATAATATTAATTCTTGGTCATAAGATAGTAACATCAATGTGTCATCGTGCTCTATGGAACAATCATGGAACCTTTTTCGTAATAAGCCAATTAGTGGTCAGTCTTTCACATCTAAACCTAAGCAATTGAATAGTGAGTGTATTGAAGTGTCAATGAATAGACATTTCATTCGCAAAAGTAAAATATAATATGAAGCGATTTGCCGCGTCTATTATAGATATTCTGTGTCTGACATAAATTTTCTTGGTTGAGTATCGTCATTGTACACCCAAAACTTCGTGAATATACTGCGCTCCTACTTTCAAGATTTCATATAAATTTTGCAGAAAGCCCGCGTACTGACGAACATGCATGTTGGCAACATTGTTGCTGCATGAGTGAATGCATGTTGGCAGCATTGTTGCTGCATGAATGAATACTCTTTGATATTTTCCACTGAATATTCGAATTTCAAATAATATATTATCGTGATGTTGCGAAATTTTTCCAAGATGGTTGTTTAAATTTCTTTTGGAAGCAGTACTTTGTACCGGTTCCAATTTCTATTAACTATTATTTCATAAGCATTTGCGTGGAATTTATATTTATTACACATTTTAATACCGTCGTAATAACCTTATTCAAGGGTAAGTTATAGGGTAAACAGTTACCGCGCCTCCCATGGCGCTGTTGGGTTTTTAATTTTTTATGGTTTACTGTCCATTGCACCCCACTGACCGAACCCCACTCTCCCCGCGCGACTTTTAATTTTTCCCGGCGGTCTGTAAATTGATTTCCCAACAATAAAAACAAAATAGGGTAAAAGATAGTAAAAACTTAGAAATTCATGTGATATAAAAAAGGCATTTTAATCAATAGCCAAATCAAAAAAGTTCAGTTACAATGCTGCCATTGAACAGTTTTTATATATAAAAAAATTGTTTTAACCGCCATCTAGACAAAATAAGAAGAATCTCGTGTAATAGTAAAAAATTCAGTTAACAAAAAGCTTTATATTTTTTCATAGATGTCACAATCGTATTAAGAAATATTATGCAACAAAAAACCGGATAAACGGTTTTTTGTACAATGTTTTGGTTGTTCGGTTGTTGAGAGTTTTTAAATAGTGTTGTTTGAGTGTTCGGACTTAACGATATTTATGGAGTCCACTTTTGGGTAGCTTTGAAGTCACATTTCTCTTCTACCAGGACATCTTGAAGATTGCTTTCAATGGCCTGGCCGTCTTTTTATATGAAAGATATAGCTGCACTTTAGAACGATTCTGTATTTATCGTAAAAGCCATTAATTATGTTACCAAAAGGATACACAAGAAAAGGTACATTTTAAATACTGTTCTTTAGGTAGAAATATACGGTATAGAATGATTAAAGCTTTTAATTAAATAAAATATCAATATACATACATTTAAACTTTATTAATATTGGCTTTGCAGAAAAAATAACACAATATTATATAAAACACAGTATAAAAAGCGTGACGACAATAAATTTTATATTTTAATGTGTAACCTGCTTGATACATTTCAATGCTGGCTGGTTAAAAACTAATATACCTATGACAACAATTGAGACCAGAGATAAATATAATCTTTTGTGGCAGGTGTCTAAAATTTGCCACATGGCAATTTCACAGACTTCACAATAAACACCGATCGAGCACAGGACTACGTTCTTGTCTTAAAATATCTTAGTTCTTTCGATAAATTCAAAAGTGACTAAATTGTATCACCACAATGCTAATTTTGGCTTAAAAATCAGGACTAGAACTTAATTGCTAATTATTATATAAGATAATTTGTTTGTGCTCAAAACATGAAATTGGTGGCCGGTTTTATTATCCTGTCGTATTGAGTTTTAGCGTGTTTCAGATATTGTGCTATTTATAGGGTTATTAAATTTTGGCTAAAGATATGTTTTTTCGGAAAAAATATTATATTTATTAAAGTAATAATTAATTGAGTCTTACTCAACATCAAAATATAATTCTAAAATAATATTGTTTTATAATATAGGATAAGGGTCCACTTTAACACTGAGATTCAAGAAAACCTATTCTAACATTAAAATTACCTACTACAATCTTGGCTTCCGTTATTAATTTTTTTTTTAACTCTATCCAGCCTAAGCTTTAGTGCGACTAATAGAAATAATTGTGTCACATAAATATTTAATCTATGCCTTGCGCACTTTTTGAAATTAGAATTATGTTCCTTTCAAATAATTGCCTCTATATGCGCAATTTTTGAAATTAGAACTATGAATTTCCCTCCAACTGTCAAGTGACAACCATTATGAATTTATTGTCAAACTGTATAGTGCCGCAAGTGTATCCTGTGGGATATTTGTGGCACTGTTAACAATGACTAAAACAAACTCACGTAGAAGTGACCAAAGATTATTTCAAAAACTACTTCAAAAACTAAAAGCGATTAATTCTTCTTAAGATTCTCCTCGTATTTTAGTATTTCTGCGATGTTATCGATCTTGATTTCCTGAACGTGCTTCCCGGAGAACTGGATGTAATCATGAGGCTGAGCTGTTGAACGCTTTTCAACTGAAACGAAAGCTTGAATAAGAATCTACAGAACATAATATACGTTGAATGGATCAGTGTTATTTAGTCAATCGTGGCGGTTAATCGTGTGATTCTCAAGGTAAGATTAATTAATTTTCTATTTTCACAGTTACTGAATACTAATACAATAGAATACTTAGGGTGGATTCGACCAAACAAGAGTAAATCTTAATCTTAGAATAAATCGTCAGTTAATCGAGAGTAAATCAATTTTACGTTTTACCATCTACAAATTTTAAGAATAGTGGGCCTATTCGGGAATTGTTACTATACCGCCGTTTCGCACGGAATAACAGCTATTACTAGAATAATTTAATGGCGTCAGTCAGTCCAATCAACTGATTTCTGTCATTTCACAAATATGTATTCTGTGTTTTCATTTCAAGTCAACGCAACGCACTAAATTAATAGTCTGGCATTGTATAATGAAACGTTTAAACAATATATTATTTATTTATTTATTTTTAGTTTTTTCATTTTCTATAATATTAGAATGAAATTCAACTAGGCTCAACAGAAGTTCCTTTTAAGACGACAGCCTCAAACAAACAACAAATAAAAACTTTTTGTTGTCGTTTGACACCTGCCTAACAGCTACTTTTTCACACTATAATACGGCAAAATCGAGTTGACATGATGTATGCTCTTACACTGTCCCGTTGTAGAACAAAATTTATTTGCCGAGTTATATTTTCGTTCACCATTCTCTTTGCTATTCGCGTATTGTTATTCCTAGCGCAATTATACTATCGTTTACGTGGAGAAACGACTATGAATTTACTCGAGATTAAAATCATGGAATAGATTATTCCTGGTATAGTTACTCGTGTATAAATTGAAATAAAAAAGAATATTAAATAAAACACGAAAACATAAAACCTGAACCTTTTTATAACAAATTATGAATTGTTCAATTTTTTTTTATCTTTTTACATTCTCACTTTTTATAGGGGATAGGGTATCTACATAAAAACAGAGGCAACAACCTATTAGGTCCAAGCCTCGGATTTGTGTATCTGTATATTTTGTTTTTCCTAATAGGCAAGTAAGTGATCAGCCTTCTGTTCTCGACACACGCTGTCGATTTCTGTGCCTCACAATTTTTTCCTTAATCTTACAATAGACAGCAAGTCCAGTGGTGCACAGCCGGGGTTCGATCCTACGACCTGTATCTACAAATACTTACTGATGTTATCGTCGCGGTAAAGGCGGTAGGCAGGTCTAGCGAAGCAGGTCTCTGCCATCTTCTTTGCGGTCTTAGCGAGGTCTACGATAGCTGGTAAAGCTGCACGCAAATGGGTGCGAACCTGTGAACGCCATTTCTATTAGAAATCAAGTTTTTCAGAATATGATCTAATTAAATTATAATTTATTGTATTCTAATTAAATTACGTTTATATTTAAGATATTACAAAAAAAACGTCAAATAAAACATTTTTTTTTAATGTAATAGGAGGCAAATGGGCGGGAGGCTAACCTGATGTTAAGTGATACCGCCCATGGCCACTCGCATTGCCAGAAGGCTCGCAAATTCATTGCCGGTCTTTTAAGAATTGGTACGCTCTTTTCCTGAAGGACCATAAGTCGAATTGGTTCGGTTACTTCAGTGGGCAGCTGGTTCCACAAGTGATACCGTCGCCTATGGACACTCTCTCAATGCCAGAGGGCTCACGAGTACGTTACCGGTTTTAAGAATCGGTACGCTCAAACTTGTCTTGTGGTCATATGTATGTATCTGAGCGTAGGTATGTTGTATGGATCATAAATGCTACGCCAAAATCGTTATTTGTAGGCAGAAATCATAGAAATGAGTGGAGGTCCCCGTAAAAATATTTGACTGATAATTAGGGTTTTGTTTAGACGAGTATAAGTTTAGACTATTATTATTATTTAATAAAATTCTAGGCACATCGATTATACCTTAGACACGTCAAATTGATCTCGAGCAGTGAGTCCAGCTACGAATAGGTCTGGGGGCATAACGATTTCAGGCTCCAGATCCATCACAAAGCAACGCTCAGCATCAACAATACCTGGAATAAGATAATAGCTACGATTAATTTTTACAGATTAGAATAATTCAAATTTGGAAACACCGTTCAGAAACCCACTACTATTAAATATCTATTTCATGAATTCAATTGTTTTAAAAATTATTCAAATTTGGAAACACCGTTCAGAAACACACAACTATTAAAAATCTATTTCATGAGTTCAATTGTTTTAAAAATTATTCAAAATTGGAAACACCGTTCAGAAACACACAACTATTTTTTTTTTTTTTCCTTTATGGCTCTGGCACGGTTTGTGCATTAGCCAGCGTCAAGTAGGTGACACAACTATTAAATATCTATTTCATGAATTCAATTGTTAAGAATTATTCAAATTTGGAATAATCGAAATATACGAAAGGCATTTCAATCAGCAATTTAAAAAATCTATTTTCTCTTATGTATACAAGTACTTGTAGCAAGCCTATGTAAACTATAAAAAAATGGCCTACCAGTAACATTGTCACTAAAGTCATGGATGAAGTCAACTCGGCGTCCATTGTCAACAACCGCGATCTTCTCCACAGAGTCTCCAATATCCAGCTCCTCATTCAGCATATCCATGATATCATCACTCTCTGGTTCGTCGATGGCGCTGATAATTTGCAGCATTGGCTTGGATGACCAGCTAATAGGTAGGGCGCGGTAGTGGCCATCTGGCATCCTCTACAAATTTTTGTTTTAATATTTACTTAAAGATTATTTAGAGACACAGACATAGTAGACAACGAAGAGATTAATAGGTGTTGCCCACGTAAAAAATCACTTATAAATAATATAGTAAGATAAATAAACTTTATAATGACCCTCTTTGTGACTAATGACTGGGAGTTTACGCGGAAAGTGTGTGAAGACACAGGTGCTCCCTATTCCATAACAGAAAGATGTCAAAAGGGTTCGACAACCATTTAAGCCAAAACCTCATCTCAAACATAAGCAATGACCGAACAACTGTAATCAAATTATAAGAATGCTATTCAGTATTGGCATAGTGGCTTAACCGCAACCCTTATCCGAGGTCATGTGTTCGAATCACAGCTGGCGAAAGGCTGTATGGTGACGGCAACCATCGTGAGAAACCCGGCATGTCTCAAACCCAAGAATACATGGCATGTGTCAGACACCAAAGCCTACTATAAAAAAAATTAAGTATAAATATGCGGTAAACTTAGTATCTATTAAGTAAATTAAAATAACAAATGATTAAAAGTGTTTAGTAAATATACATACATTTAAATTATAATTATTGTATAGACTAGAATGTTATTCATGTAAAGTCGTACGCACTATCTTTTGTGTAGGAAAAAATGACTTATGTTTTCCGTTTCGTATATTTTGTTTATCAATATAATCTGTTTTGGCTTTGTATATTGTCTAAGTATTTATATAATATGAATATGATTTTGTCCCATTCGGCGTCGAGAGCCTTGGTCCGTGGGGTCCTAACGCTTTAAGGCTTTTTAAAGAAATATCAAAAAGGTTAGTCGACATCACAGGAGACCGAAGATCTGGCAGCTACCTCGGACAAAGAATTAGTCTAGCTATTCAAAGCGGGAACGCTGCTAGTATCTTCGGAACCTTGCCTAAAGGGACCCCTTTCAATAATATATTTAAGTTATTATATGTTAAGGTTAGTTATTTATTTAAAATAAAAAATAAAATTAAATATGTTTATTATGGAACATAAGATACATGTATCACTTATTCCACGTCATTAAATTTGAAGGCATCCCTACTCATCGGCAAAGAAGACAGAGGGTGTAGGCCGAGAGAAAAAGCCGGCGTAAAAAACTCTCGGTACTCTTTTAAAACAGCAAATCATCAAACAACACTTATTTAAAACAAATATCGCAAATTGATTAGAAGTAGCCTGTCTAGCACTAGTCCCAGGCCCTTTTATCAACTAGATAATCGTTGACTTTATAGTAAGCCTTTTTACACAGCTTTTCTTTAATACATTTCTTAAATTTATTGAAAGGCAGTGATAAAAGAGCCTCTGGGATTTTATTAAAGAAGAGTATCCCTTTCCCCAAAAAAAGAATTACTAACTTTAGATAGTCTAGTACGGGGAAATTGCAGCCTGCGTTTGTTCCGTGTATTAACATTGTGCGTATGTTCTATTCTAGTAAACTTATCACTATTTTTGTATACATACATAATATTTTCATAAATATATTGCGAGGGAAAGGTAAGTATATTAATTTCCTTGAATTTATCTCTAAGAGATTCCCTACATTTTAAATTATAGATTGCACGAATAGCCCTCTTCTGCAGGATGAAAATAGTTTCGACATCAGCAGCATGACCCCATAATAATAAGCCATAAGTCATTAAGCTATGAAAGTAACTAAAATAAACAAGTCTAGCTGTATCGACATCAGTTAGTGAGCGAATTTTTTTAACCGCGTAGGCTGCAGAACTAAGTCTCTTCGCCAATCCGTTAATATGAGGGGACCACTGAAGTTTTGAATCCATGGTGATTCCGAGAAATACAGTTGTAAAATAATTATAATGTAAACAGCAAATGGGACAATAATAAAATAGGACACATGAAAAATTTGAAAATGTGTTGCTGTAAGATTACTTTTAAATGTCGAATTTGATATTTTGAAGACCTAAACGACCTACCCATCCGAATACTGATATTACTAATACTGCACGTTTCCCAGCCGGACCATTGCATCGCGCATGTAATCAATATCTAGGCTGCACATTTAGCTTCTACCGGGCGGCGCTGCGCCTAGTTATCTGTTATTGCATTATTATGTTTTGATGATACTTTTTACTTAATGTCATCGGCCATCGCCTTATTATAGACATTATAATAGTCATTGCATGCCTATGGATGATTGTGCTGATTTTTATAATTAGCCAATCTTCTCTCTCTTTCTTTTCAAACAAACGATTTATGATTATTATTATATAGTAAAGTATAGTTTTGCGTAGAACTAAGCAAGAATTGGTTGCTTGCATTAAAATTTGCAATTTACAGTATGTAATTATTTTGTAAAAACTTCGTACAAATATTTTACAATTAGAATGCCATACCGTACTGGTTAGTTCGATACTGTCGTAGAAAAAATAATTCTATTACCATATAATTTGGTTTGTAATATTAATTGCTACAGTAAAAATTTAAAAAATCGACATCAAGACAGATTGATTCGACCGTGGAATTATACGTCATAACAGTACAATTGATGGTCATTATTCAATTACTTATTCAGATAACTGCGCTATGTGCGAGTTAAAAACGTATGCATCTTCTTCAGAAAATATTATCAATAAAATAAGGGTTGCCTGGAAGAAATCGCTAGTTAGCGATAAGGCCGCCCGTTGCCTTATACCTAACTTATGTAACCTGCTTTATTTATTTTTTGTTATATGTATGTTTTTGTATAAGACAATAAAGTGTAAATAAATAAATAATGTTATTTAACTCTGTAATTTTCTATCTGTATGGGACATATTTTTTTCTCTTTAGCTACCCTAAAATCGCCTATTTTTATAACACAAACAAAAACATACCTCAGTAAAATCTCTCGGCACAGGAATGTGGCAGAAGGCCTGGTAGTTTTTGTTGCCAGACTTATACTCATTGAGCATCACAACAATTGAAATCCCTCCCAAAAGGAGAACCACAAACAACGACAACAAAAGATACACCAATGTCGTCATAGTTAGCGTAGGTTGAGGGTAAAACTCCTGCTCAGGTAGATCCACCCGGGACTGGAAAAGTACGTAACACATAGTTTACGTGTATTAAAGGCCATTTAAATGAATATAACGTTTTAAAAAAAGAGTATCCGTTGTGTTAACATAATATGAGGGTACACTGCTAAAAATGTAGAATAGCCCAGCTATATTCAATAACTATTTTATAGTCTATGAATATTAATAATCATTTGACATGAAATATTAGACAGATTAACTTAAATATTAATGTGAGGGTAGATTACACTAATTAGATGTTTTTAGTAAATTATGGAATTATGAAAAGTTCTCTGACTACGTGTTTTTTAACAATTAATTTGTTCTCGATTGAATTAAAATAAAGCTACTAACATTATTTTATTAAAAAGTCCATACATAATATATTATAAACGATCAATACGAAAAGGTACGAACCTCGCTGCGACTACTTCCTTGGACATAAGGCGTATTTATAATTACAGGTTTTTCACAAATATCCGCTGGTTTAGTGAACACCGTCATTTCTTAGCTTTTATTTTCACTTCTTAATAAAATATTATCAACAGCAGTGGAACGCTTAACTACCCGAATGCTACTGTTATTGATCGGACTTTTCGCAGGCTGCACAAACGCAGTAAGCACGAAGCAGGAAGACTTATATACTCTCTTTAGCGCCACCTAGTAACTAATCCAGTAATCATATTATGCGTTGTGCGGAACTCTGTATTCTCATACGTCATTAGTTTATAATTGTTTTTAGTAATATTAAGTTCGTATAGTTCCGTTACTTTATTTATTAATAATTGTGCTCATCTCATATAAAGCTACACTCACAGGTTTACCTTATCCTTTACAGCCATAGACGAAATCCTATTATGATCTGTTTATTTTTTAGGGCCACAACTTTGTCAAAGTCGATAATGGTTTTGTCCTAAATAAGAGACAAATCCACCAAATATTCAAGACTAGGCGGTTTTTTTTTCAATAATTTAACAAGTATAATATTGTAGTAATCAAAATTTATGTAACATTAAACTTGTCATTTATTATTCTTATTTCTTTATTTTCACTATTACTTAGTGTATACCTTCCCTAACCTACTTGCCATTATCATAGATTATAAAATTTTATCAAAGTTTATATTGTCTATGGCTAAAAACAGAAAAAGAATTCAAGGAAGGAGGGAGGAAACGGACAATTTTCAATTTGTAAAATATTCTGTGATTTGTGAAGAGGTTAATGATTCAGCATACGCAAAAGTGTTGTTAAAATATGTCTTATTAGTTTCGTTGAACTTTATTTTAAGTTAAAATCTTGGTTTCTTGTGTACGAATCTTAAATCTCAGTCGAACGACAACCACATTAAAATGGCGACGGATCCAGCGAAAAACCGCATGCATGTTTTCAAGAACACAGGCAAAGATGTCGACGTAAGTTTTAAAGTGTCTAATTTCACTATTTGTAATATCATAATGTTATTTTTAAATAAAATCTGATGTGCCTTCTCTGAATATAATAGTAATTTTTGTTTGTTGGTGCTTTGTAGGAAATGCGCAGACGACGAAACGAAGTGACAGTCGAGCTCAGAAAAAATAAAAGAGAAGAATCACTTCAAAAACGTCGTAATGTACCCATCAGTGACTCAACAGACGAAGATGAGATCGAGAGGACGTTGGCCTCTACAGATCTTCGTGAGCTAGTTATGAATGCGGCAAACGCAGATAATCCTGAAGTGCAGCTTTCAGCCGTGCAGCAATGTAGAAAACTACTCTCTTCCGACAAAAATCCACCGATAGATGAATTAATCAGCACTGGAATTCTCCCTATTCTTGTTGTCTGCTTATCTAGAGCAGACAACCCTACCCTGCAATTCGAAGCGGCGTGGGCTCTTACGAATATTGCGTCTGGAACATCTGCGCAAACTAATAAAGTGGTTCATGCTGGAGCAGTTCCATGGTTCTTGCAATTACTTATGTCACCACATGAGAATGTGTGTGAGCAAGCTGTCTGGGCTCTTGGTAATATTATTGGTGATGGCCCTATTCTACGAGATTTTGTTGTTGAATTGGGAGTTGTCAAACCTTTATTGAGTTTCATTAAGCCTGAGATACCTATATCATTTCTACGTAATGTGACATGGGTTATTGTGAACCTGTGCAGAAGTAAGGATCCCCCACCACCAATCAAGACTATCCAAGAAATTCTACCTGCTCTTAATGTACTCATCACCCACAGTGACATCAACGTAAGTTCAGTGACTTGTTTATCTTATCTATTAATTGAATTTATTGTTTCTAATTGGTTGAGAAAAAATTTAAATTTTGAAGCAGGAGCTGCTTATCTAAATATCAAATAAGCAATTTCTTTAAATTCTTTAGTATTTATTATTGATCATAAAATTTTAAGAAAAACATACTTCAAGTAAGCTTTCAGGGTTGAGACTACATCCCAAAATATGGGAGATTCCCAAATCTTAAATTTTTTTATTTATTTTTAAGTTAATTATTATTTTAGATTCTCCTCTTGAGAATTTAAGCATTCTAATGCTCTGTGTATTACTATTTTGATGATATGCATGTTATATTAGATACTTTGTTAAATTATTTAAAATGTCATCATTTTAAATTACCTATAATGCATGGTAGTGTTAGTTAATCTGTATATATAACTAACAAATATTTCTTTGCTTTTCAGATACTTGTAGACACAGTATGGGCTATCAGCTATTTAACGGATGGGGGCAATGATCAGATCCAGATGGTTATAGACTCGGGTATTGTGCCCAAACTAATCCCTCTTCTCTCACACAAAGAGGTGAAGTGCCAGACAGCAGCTTTAAGGGCTGTGGGCAACATTGTAACAGGCACAGACGAACAAACTCAAGTTGTTCTTAACTGTGATGCATTGTCACACTTCCCAGCCTTGCTCTCACATCAGGTAAACAAAATATTATTAGAAAATGTTGATAATGCTTCATAGAGAAAGCATTGTTGATTTAAATTAAAAAATGAATCAGATATTTTATTGTTTAATCCCATTGTTTTATCTCCTCTTGGCTCGCAATGTCTAGATACATAATTAATGTATATTTCTATTTTTGGTGATTTGTGGAAGTGCTTTTTACCTTTGGTATATGCAATAACAAACAAACCAACCAAACAAATGTATGGTATACTATTAAAAGATATAAAAACTGTCTATTGGCATATATCCAATATTTATTTTCAATCAGATTTTTTGTTTAACACATGCTACTTATAAATACTGGGATAAAGATGTTTTGATATCACCTTCTCTATTGTATTATATCATATTCATTATATTCAGATGTATTGATTTGTCAACATACATTTAAATTTAAATAATACATAAGCATGGATGACTGCAGTACAATCAGACTTTATTTACAACCTTACTTACGTCTTGTTTCTGTTATATAAATGTTTTCATACAGACTTTGAAAATATTATTAATGCTACAGTATTAAAAATGATGTGTTTCATAGCTCTATGTAGAGTCAGAAATAGAACCGTTGTGTTATTTTAGTTGCAGCAGTGCTAAACCATTTATATATTGAATAGTGGACCCCACAGACGTTGTCCTGCATGATATTTAAAGCGATTAGGATATTAAGCAAAGTATGAAAGTACCGACTGCAGTGCCATCTGCCGGGCTGATTTGTGAATCTAAACCATTCCCAGATCCCCTTGAACACACACAAAAAATTTCATCAAAATCGGTCCAGTCGTTTGAGAGAAGTTCAGTCACATACACACGCACACAAGAAATATATATATTAAGATAAAGCTGTTACGTCATTATAGTTTGACAGTATATTTTTGTGAATAAATGAAATTACGGTAATGCATATTAAATAAGAATTATAGTTGTTCCCATAATAAAGACTTACAGAATTTAATTATGTTTCTCACATTAATCTATATTGTTACAGAAAGAAAAGATCTGCAAAGAAGCAGTGTGGTTCTTGTCAAACATAACGGCTGGTAATAAACAACAAGTACAGGCAGTTATTGACGCTGGTCTCCTACCCAAGATTGTGGAAAACCTCAGCAAGGGTGAATTCCAGACCCAAAAGGAGGCAGCTTGGGCTGTTTCCAACTTATGTATCAGTGGCACTAAGGAGCAAGTAGCTACTCTAATCCAATGTGGAGTTATACCCCCTCTGTGCAATCTCCTCGCATGCAAGGATACACAAGTTATTAATGTGAGTATTTTTATACTAAATTATCTAAAGTAAAAATTGTTCTTCACTTAAGTACTTTTAACTTTATTTCTGAGTTCTAATCAGTGGCGCTACAACCTTTTTAGGTCTGGGCTTCAGATTTCTGTATTACGTCACGCAATTTTTGGAGGTTATTGACATTGAAGACATGTCGGTTTCCTCACGATGTGTTTTCCTTCATTGTTTGAGCGATTGTTTAATGCACACAAGTAAGAATGTCCATTGGTGCACAGCCGGGGATCGAACCTACGACCTGAGGGATAAAAGTCGCCCGCTGAAGCCACTAGGACAACACTGCTCGCCCCACACTTGTCATATTAATGCTTGATTAAGTTCAAAATTATAATATTTGTATTTTAAAATCCGTAGGTGGTACTAGACGGTCTCTCTAACATGCTAAAGATGGCTGGAGACAGTGCAGAACAAGTGGCCAACATGATTGAGGAATGCGGAGGTATCGACAAGATTGAGGAACTGCAGTCTCATGAGAAAGTGGAGATTTACAAGATGGCGTATGATATCATTGAGCAGTACTTTGCGGACGAGGTAAGTCTTTTAAAATATGTCCAGTAACACTGCCTTAAGGACCTGTCCGGTCGCCTAACTCCCAAAAAGTATATTGTTTCTTTCCATTTTTCGTCATCGTTTCTTAAGTAGGGCGAATGGAAGAAATATATTGTGGAGTTGACTAGTTTATGTATCCATTTTGAAAGATCGATACACGATTTAAATAACTTCGCTCGGTAGAAAAAAAATTCAAAAATAGCCAATTTTAGACACTTTGAATTCATGTTATGACGAAAATGTATATAGCACATGATTTTTAAAATTTACACGATATATTTTATCGCAAGCCAAGACAAACAAATTGATAAAATTACATTAATTTAATGTTTTACATAACTAATTGTTATTACGGGCCGGCGCGCCTCAGTGCTCCAGCTCTCCAATGCGCACCGCAGTCTACCCCGAGACACTGACAGCAATTCGTGCTGGGATAGGGCCTTAAGTCAAAAAGCTCCAAAACATGTTTTGTCCACCTTACTCAATTCTACCCAAAACCTCCATTACTCTAAATCTCAACCATAAATAAATTATAAAATTTAATAGGGCTTCTGTACTCGAACTTAGCAATGTTTTATTTTACAACTCTTTCAACTTGATAATCTAAATGGTCTATATTTCGAAGTAAAATAAGTTAACAAGTAAGGATTTGCTGACAGTGTATGACTATCGTTTCCTGGAAAACAACAAATAAATAGTAATACTACAAAATAGTAATATACAATAAATAGTATTACCACAAAATAGCAATATACAATAAATAGTATTACCACAAAATAGCAATATACAATAAATAGTATTACCACAAAATAGCAATATACAATAAATAGTATTACCACAAAATAGCAATATACAATAAATAGTATTACCACAAAATAGCAATATACAATAAATAGTATTACCACAAAATAGCAATATACAATAAATAGTATTATCACAAAAGAAATTTATGACTTATGTTAATGTGCTTGCTTCATATCAGGGCTTTATTTTGGGAGCTTTATGTTTGATGACATTTGAACTACATCAGTTGAAAACTCTAGAAACTAGAAATTTTTGGCGTCTCCCCTGATCTTAAAGTTATAGATGTACTACTTTACTAGCTTTATAGTTTAATATCTATTGTAATTTTAGTATCAGCATTAAACACTAAACCAAATTGGTAGCAGAACAAGAATTGGTTTGGAAATAAAAAAACTGATGTAGTACCCCAAGTTATATTAAGGAGGCGCATAGCTTTGAACTTATTGCACATATTGTCTCAGTTCCCAGTGAATTAACAATAGGTTAGGTTTTCATTTTTTTAATATAAGTGGCGTTTGTGATCAGGTTAGGTTAGAACCAAAAATTTGTACATTCTTTCATTCATTTCACAAATCATTATGTTTTAATTAATTTCTATGGGGTTATATGACGAAAATATGTAGAGAAAAAATTGTAACTTTTTTAAGGTATAGTGTAGTTGGACAAATTTACCAAAAACATTTTGAAAAGCATTAGTAAATTAATAAATTGGCGACCGTTAAAAGGTCAATTGTGTCCAAGTATGATTTGTTTCGAGCTGAATATTTATAAATTTAATTAAATAATTGTTGTTATAATTTAAACCCAGTGGATGAGATACTTTTTTTTACACGAAAATGTATAATAATGTTATTAACATATTCATATAAACTACTTTCTGACGAGATAAAAAAATATATTTTTAAATGGGATCTGGTTATTTTTTAGTTCGTGTTTTCAATGAAACAGCTTTCTGGAAGGTAAAGTGTAATAGAGAGAACTCCATCTTTCGATTTAAGCTCCCTAATTGACTTTGATTGGCTTGCCTAAAAGCGTCTCCACACGGCCTTAAAATCAGTGGCGATATGGGAATGAAATCGGCTCGTAGTTTGAATCGGCAGTAGTATACTCCACACGTCCGATTTGCCTACACAGGAGGAGATCTAGGGTGCTCCCCCACCACTTCCCAGATATTGTCTCTGATTTTAGGGCCGTGTGTAGACGCTTTTACTGTTTGTACTATGGAAAATCTTCTTCAATATACAGTCAAAATCTGTTATAAAGACATCGAAGGGACTCATATTTGGTCATAAAAACGGATAGTCTTAACAGCTGATGACGTTGTTATTAAGTACCTAATACAATAGAATTCAACCGGGACCTTTAATTTAGGTCAATATAACCGGTATGTTGTTCTAAACTATGTGGTCGTAAATGGTTTTGACTGTAACAACAATTGTGTATAACTCTAGAAAGTGCAGTCTTCAGATTATGAATTACCATCTATTACATACCCAATGAAGATTTTTATTCAGCACAGACCCAGATATATTTTGCTAAAATTAGATAGTAAAACATAAATTATCATGTTCTTATTGGGAAATGTAAATTTACAGGAAGAAGACGCGACCCTCGTGCCTCCAACGGCGGAACAATCTTTCCAGTTCGAGCCGGCGCCCAGCGGTCCCCAAGACGGCTTCCGCTTTTAGACATAGCCCCACGCCCCACAACCGCACACATCGACGTCCCATACCCCGAGACGGGTCGAATAACTCCGTTCAAATGGGATTCAATGAATTGCCCCCCGGGTTTCCCCTTTGAATGCTGTTATTAATATTTTTAATTATGTATAGTGATTGTTATGCGAATTGAGTCGATGTGTGCTTTAAGTGGATCGACGAGCGAATGTTAATTTTGATCGGTCGTCGGTCCACGCGAGCAAAAAGGCCTTAGCACCGTGATCGTTGTAAAATTCGCGTTTTTAATTATTAAATTTGACTATCGGTGCTACGGTTTCGTTGTGATACAGATGTATTGTGATGTTTGAGGATTTTTTTTCATCTTTTCATCGGGCTAGAGTTGTGAGAGCCAATTTAAGTATTCGAAGTGCAAAATGCATTTGATTTTTATTGTTTTTTTTTTTAATCTAATAAATCTGTTGTTTCTGTGTAACAAAAAAGAAAGAATCATTTTTTTTAATTCTACCTACAAATTGAGAAATTCATAATTGGGACAGTTTTGTCTTATACACTTTAATAAAAAAAATTATTGCTTTAATGTTATTTGAAGTACATTGTGTATTTTTTTTATTCTTCTCGGAAGGTATTTAATAAGAGCTGTGTTCACTCTAAATTCTTACGATGTCTAGGTAATAAGGTCTCCGAAATTGAAGCAAATTCTCACGGCTTTAGCCCCTAGGACGGACGACATAGCTAAGTAAGTCCGGACATCTAGTGTACTCCGCTTACACATTGCTTTTGATAACATAGTATTTATGTTTCGACTTAACTCAGGTGGGACACGTGATTATGTTCGAAATGAACCCATTTGTAACTATATTACAATAAATTCTGTCCAATTATTAAGTGTTTTATTATCCCAAGTATATGGAAGGTAGTGAGTCGCGGAATGTGCTGGTTTTCTGTAACAAAGTGTATGGATTAGTTTTTGAGTAAAATGCATGCTTTTTATATTTTAAAGTACTAAAAATATTAAGTTTAAATATGAATTTCTACTAACTAAAAGTAGAAAACCCTGAGTTCGCTTCCCAGCGAAGTTTTCGAGTTCGTAAGGTAAAATTAGTACCAGATCTTATGGTTTTGTAATTATTAAGACAAAAATCATTTTTAAAATCTTTCTAATTAGGGGTTGTCCATTAATTGTATTAAAAGTGGCGAGTTTCCCGATCTAATGAAACATAGTAAAGTTATTCCTTTATTTAAAGCAGGTAGTATGTCCGACCCCAGTAACTTTAGACCAATTTCCGTACTACCTACTTGTAGTAAAATATTTGAAAAAATTATATTAAATCAACAGGTAAGTCATTTTAACGTAAACAAATTATTACATAATAATCAGTTCGGTTTTACCAAGGGTCGCTCGACAGCCGATGCCGGTGTTGAGTTATATAGATATATAGTTTAGGCTTGGGAGGAGTCGCATGACGCTTTAGGTGTTTTCTGCGACTTATCGAGAAGCATTTGATTGTGTCCAACACGAGACCTTAATCGGGAAACTCCGCCACTATGGCATCAAGAATACCGCACTGAATCTTCTGACTTCCTATTTACACGGAAGAACTCAGAAGGTTGAAGTGAATGGTAAGAGGTCCTCTGGGTCGGCAGTAGATATGGGGGTACCACAGGGCTCAATTCTTGGCCCTTTCCTCTTTCTTGTTTATATAAATGATCTGCTTTATGGTAGAGAGAAAACATCAGATAGTTTTGTTTGCTGATGACACGTCCTTGATTTTTAAAATCAAACGACAAATAACAAATTTTGACGATGTGAACAATGCTCTGTCTTCGATTGTCCATTGGTTTAGTATGAATAACCTTCTACTTAATGCAAAAAAGACAAAATGCATTAAATTTTGTGCAAAAAATGCAAGGGTTATGGATACTAGACCAATTATAAACGGTGAGGAATTGAATCTGGATGATACAACTGTATTTCTCGGAATCACCATGGATTCAAAACTTCAGTGGTCCCCTCATATTAACGGATTGGCGAAGAGACTTAGTTCTGCAGCCTACGCGGTTAAAAAAATTCGCTCACTAACTGATGTCGATACAGCTAGACTTGTTTATTTTAGTTACTTTCATAGCTTAATGACTTATGGCTTATTATTATGGGGTCATGCTGCTGATGTCGAAACTATTTTCATCCTGCAGAAGAGGGCTATTCGTGCAATCTATAATTTAAAATGTAGGGAATCTCTTAGAGATAAATTCAAGGAAATTAATATACTTACCTTTCCCTCGCAATATATTTATGAAAATATTATGTATGTATACAAAAATAGTGATAAGTTTACTAGAATAGAACATACGCACAATGTTAATACACGGAACAAACGCAGGCTGCAATTTCCCCGTACTAGACTATCTAAAGTTAGTAATTCTTTTTTGGGGAAAGGGATACTCTTCTTTAATAAAATCCCAGAGGCTCTTTTATCACTGCCTTTCAATAAATTTAAGAAATGTATTAAAGAAAAGCTGTGTAAAAAGGCTTACTATAAAGTCAACGATTATCTAGTTGATAAAAGGGCCTGGGACTAGTGCTAGACAGGCTACTTCTAATCAATTTGCGATATTTGTTTTAAATAAGTGTTGTTTGATGATTTGCTGTTTTAAAAGAGTACCGAGAGTTTTTTACGCCGGCTTTTTCTCTCGGCCTACACCCTCTGTCTTCTTTGCCGATGAATAGGGATGCCTTCAAATTTAATGACGTGGAATAAGTGATACATGTATCTTATGTTCCATAATAAACATATTTTATTTTATTTTATTTTTATTTTATTTTAAATCACGTGAGGTTCGGGAGGGGTTCGGCAAAAATCACGAAATAATACTACCTTTCTTAAGTATCGATCTTCGTATTAGACTTTGTGAAAGCATTGTGCTCTCCAAACTTACATACGCTCTTCCGGTGTACGGGCCTTGTATAACTGCTAAAGCACAACGGTTGATCCAGAGAGTACAAAATGCATGCGCCCGGTTTTGTATCACCATACCACCTCGCTCACATGTCACCCCCTATTTGAACAACTTAAATTTTCTAACAATCAAAGGTCGACAAAAATTGTATTTGGCATGTTTATTATTTGATGTAGTATATACTAAACAACCTGAATATTTGTACAAGAAGCTCCTCTGGCGTAGTAATACCAACAAGCACCAAGTCAGGAGCTGGCCATTCACCAGCATCGGACGGCTTCATTTCGTGGGAGTTTTAAATATAGCGCGACGAAGTGTTGGAATAATATCCCTCCTCCGCTGAAGAGTCTTCAATTAAAGTCGAGTTTTAGTCGCAGTTATAAGACACATCTACTTACTCAACAAAAGTCCCACGAAATTTAGTTTTTATCCACCCAAAAAACAAAAAATATCTACTTATTTACAATTATTCTTATTTTTAATGACCAGCGCTGTGGAACTTTTTGCTCCTCAGCATAATGCTGAGCCAGGGCCAATTACAACCACAGTACACACACATTGCACACTGGAAGCGAACCGAATGGCAAAAGGGAATTTTTATTGTTTTTGATGTCTTATTTTATTTTTTTCTTTAAGTATTGTTATTTTGTGTGTTTATGTGTGTGTGTTTTCGTTTGTAATAAATGTTATAACAAGGGGGGGGGTTATAGTAAGATATCACGTGTACTTACTTTTTCGTAAAACTCGTGATTTCTAAACCGAAAAGCGGCTTAGAAAAACGATCGATCATTAGATCGAGAGAGATTATCTGCGTAGTGCGCGTGATGACGCCGAGTGGCTTGATAAAACCGACGTTGATCTTCAACAAAGTACATTGCCAACAACTGACTTGCAAGATGCTTATCCAGTTGTTAGTATTGAAGAAAGTCTTGCTAATCTGTGGCAATGTACATTAAATATGTTCATGTACTAATACAATATAAGATTTTCGCATGTTCACACCATTCCTTTAATATTATTTTTATGCCAGTCAAAAACAACCTGCAACCTTAATTTTCTAGAATAGGTTTAGATTACTGTATACCGGTTCTTAAAAATAATATAAAAAATTTAAGATTCTTTATAGGTACTAAAAATACACGTGATTTTTGGTGGGGGGTTAGTCTCAAACCTCACCACGTATCACCATGGGGGGAGGGAGGGGTTACTAAATGTTAAAAAAACATCACGTGATTAATGGACAGCCCCTTAGTAGGTACACCTGTATTCTATAAAAATCTATTGATCAACGGATAATTCTACAAATATATTCATTTCACAATTAAGAATACATTAATACGTCTATATCATTTTGTTAGATACCTACCATTTTCTTTAGCTCGCATGCGTAGCATTTAACCCCGCTGTGATAGGACTCCTGCACTGAATCAGCGTATCTTGATGCTAATCTTGTGTTAAGCGAATTCACATCGTAAAATTGGCCCACTTTGTGCTGGAAACTGGAAAGGTAATAATAATAATGTGTGAAAGAAAGATGATTATTATATTTGTTATTAAGGGCTCCCACACAAAACTGCGAATTCGCATCGCATCGCAAATATCTGCGAATTCGCACGAACGCAACGCAAGAATTTCCGATCTGCTTCGCATCGCACATTCCTGCGATTTTACGTAATCCTTGGTGACACCATTTTAGTCCGCTCTGAGACAAACAATTAAAATGTCAATAAATAAATTTTGTTTTACTTTACTTGATAGTCAGTCCCAGCATTTCCAAAGGCATAACAGGAATTCTTCCCTTGTACGATAGTTTTTGAAGGCATGGTGATAATATACTCAAAAGCTCTTCAAATGAAAATATGCTCATTCAAAAATAATCAAAAAATTTATCTTCAGTTCTCAACGCATAGTACTTTTGAATAAAAAAATTCCCATCAGAGTTCATAATCGTAATGAATGGATGAACCCAGAATCTTCTTTTTCTTTTATATCTATTTAACGATAACAGCAGTGCAATAATATTTTTGCGATCCATCTTACGCTTCTTAAAAACACGTTCAGTACGGCTGGCTTCGAAGGAATGGTCGCCCTACCAAACGGTTTGACGCACTAAATCGTATCGCAGAAATTCGCATCGCAAATTCCTGCGATGCGAACTCGCATCGCATCGCATCGCAGTTTTGTGTGGGAGTCCTAATGAAGAATGTTTTTAAACTAATCTGTCAAAACTGGCTATTTACGCAGGAGCTTAAAATGTAAAAACTACCCTCTTTTCCATACTTTGAGTATGTTAGCAGGCGCAGGACGCTCTAGATGCTCACCTACATACGGAAGTAACTCCAAAGTGAAGGCCTAATACCATTTTTTTTCAGCCCCACCCGGAATTCAAACTCGAGTCATGAACAGATGAACGTGCTAACCACTAAACCAAGCAGTCTATATGTAATCTTATTATTTATTTATCACAAGAATTAAATAATATTAACAAAAACGCTGCAACGGGCGGTCTCATCGCTACTAAGCGATCTCTTCCAGGCAACCCTAAATCCTAATAGTTAATGCCCAACATGTTTTTGGCCGCAAATTTAAAAGGTTCAATAGATATATGAAGTAGGAGACACTTTAAATCAGCCTTACGATTCTGTAACTCACTTTTCGAACTCTCACAGCGGTTTTCGCAGCGATATAGCGCAGATAAGGAGGGAGCTTGTAGTTTATTGTTTATCAGAATGCCAAATCGTAAAATGACTGATTTGAGCGCGACCGCCGCTGTGAGAGTTCGAAAAGTGAGTTACAGAATCGCAAGGCTGAGCTTACTTAGGCAACGGTTTAGTCCAGTGATTATCCAGCCTGTTCACTTTCATTATTGCGCTGAGCCGCTGGAGGAGACTGAAATTCTCATTTTGTATCTTGGTCTTACGGTCCATTTCTCTTTGGACTTTCTTCAGTTTAGTAACAACGTGCGGGCGAGACGCTGGAGCTCTGTCATCTATGGCAGGTAACGCTGATTTCACCTATTCATAGTATAAACATGCATCATTTTTAAATAATGACTAATATTGCTACCTTGGATATAGGTATTTCCTTTGAAATGAATACGGCATGTATTTAAAAAAATAGGTAGATACATGTGACGGGTAAGAGCTGCTAAGAATCGAAATAACCTTTTTCTTAAATAATTTGTCAAAATTGTTTATTACTATATATTATAAGTAACAACGTTTACATTCTATTGTTTGTATATTTATTGTCTTGACCTGATTGAAGTTTTGAATAATTTATAGGTACATCTTATACCTTTCCCAGCCTCTGTACCTCTGCCTCTGTACCTAGTGTACCTACTTTTGCTGGCCCCTTGACAATCCTTTACAAATTGTAATAATATGAATATAAGTTGTCTTTTATATAGGCGAGTGTCACACATTAAATAAACAACCGTATAACCGTTCAGTATATGAAACACAGTATTAGTATGTGTACCTACGAGCCAAGCCTGAACATTTTGCTCACTCAGGCTTTCTATGTTTCCTAGTTCTAGGGGCGATTTCCTAAATCTTCGGAGTTACGCCCCGAGAGTATATACCAGACGTAGGCACTTTCTTCAACGGTTACATTGCATTCATTCGTTACATAGCAATTAACATTTCATTATTACGCTTATTCTATTGTTGTACGGTTAATATAGAGTAAAATAAAATCCTCTATTATTTATAGCACCCCGATGACCCCGGAACTGTACAGAATGTTTACTGTGAAGTTCTTAACACGTGTGACTTGTTTCACAAATATAACAAATTATCGTCTTCTGTGAACACTAAAAAGTGCACTACATACACTGTTTTATCAATGCAATTTCATAGTTTACCTTAGACCTGTGATCCTGAAATTTCCTCTCTTTCCATGGCTGCTGATATAGTTGCTCTCTTCTCGACAACATTTTTGAATTACTGAAACCGATGTGTACGAGCGTAATCTAGGAAGTGGTATAATCAATATACTATGAAACATTCAGTATCTTAGCAACATATTCGATGTTTATTCAACAGGACCGCTGTACACAACAATACATTTTAGCAATAGCAGTCATATTGATCTGAAAATCACTCGGCATATCGACTTACGATTATGCACATAATGCAATCCGCTTTTTTATCTGTATTTTGACGAATATAATATAAGGCAACCGTGGCTGGTGAGGACGGGTCGGGTACGCCTTGCTTTACATACCTGCACCAAATCCCGAATGGAGAAGAGACTGGTCAAAGGTACCCATAACCGACGATTATGCATGGTACATGTGGATTAATCGATCTGTCTCTCAGTGCCTACTCATACAACGGCATGTTTTGCACACTGATTCATGCACGTAATTCTGCTTGTTAAAAAATTTAAGATAAGAAATTGTAAAGTTTTAAAAATTTAAAATTGTAATGAAAAAATATAGATATTTACTTTATTATGGAGGGTTGAACCTGACACAGGTATTTTTAACTTAAAAGGGTTCCCAGATCTTACACATTGTAATGCATACTTATTGTACCAGCCAAGGCTGTACATTTTGCTCACTCAGGCTGTCTTAGTTTTATTAGCGTTGCGATTTCTTTAATCGTCGGAGTTACGCCCCGAGAGTACAGCCAGACGCAAGCACTCTCTGCTACTGCTACTTTGCCAGTGGCGTAACAATATGTTAGGGGCCATCCATAAAGTACGTCACACGAATTTTAGGACTTTTGAACCCCTACCCCCGTCCTTGTTGGCAGTGCTGGCAAAATGCCACGGGCCCCGACCCAAGAGGTATAATATTCTATGAATGAATGTGAAGTCTCCAATACGCATCGGGCTAGCGTGGGGACTACAGACCATTCCCTCTTGCCTAAGAGAGGAAGCCTATATCCATTAGTGGGACATATACTACGTGTAATTGAGTACGCTGAAAATCTCGAAGTTTATTAAAATTAAACTGAGTACAATGTGACGATTTTTACTGGTAGGGCCCCATGAAAAGGATTTGCCACGGGCCCCAGATATAGTTACGCCACTGTACTTTGCATTATTTACTTACATAGCAATTAACATTTCTTTATTTCGCTTATATTCTGTTGTAGGCGAGTGGTTAATATAGAGTAAAACTAAAATCCTCTATTATTCAAATTTTAAAGCATCCCAACGAGTGATGACCCAGGAACCTTACACTTATAATGTTTATTTATTCGACTCCATCAATTCAATACGATCTTCATGCTTTTGTAGATTAATATTAAATAGTGGACTTATTAAAAAACTAAACATTATTGATTGTTGATCAATCAAAAAGACCAATGGATCAATAAAACTCCGTTTGCAAATTAATAAATAAATTATATTGTTAAATATTATAATACACTGCACTTACATTGGTATAATGCGCATTACAAACACGAAAACACATTACAAATAAAAATATACTTTGAGCAATATAAAAATAATAAAAAAACAGAATCACTAGCTCTAAACTATATTCGCTAAATTGAGAATTGAAGGCGAAGGAATGTAATTCCGCGTTTAATTATTTGGCAATGTTATAAAGCTCAGTTAAAAAGCCAATTAAAATACATGAACACATATTAAATTTTAATTCAACCACTTTCAATCATTTGTGCTTCTCATCAGACCCTTGGGAAGACGTGTCACCCCAATCAATCAATATAAAATTAAAGTACGTTCTTAAAATTGTAGTTGAGGACTTCTCATATAAGTGATGGTCAACTATGACTGTTAATCACGTCGACTGGTATTTTTTTATAGAACAGGGGCATATGGGCAGGAGGCTCACCTGATATTAAGTGATCGCCCATGGACACTCTCAATGCTAGAGGGCGATGCCGATCTTAAGAATTGGTACCCTCTATTCTTGAAGGACCCTAAGTCGAATTGGTTCGGAAATATTTCAGAGAGCAGCTGGTTCCACAGTGGTGGTCACTACCTCTGTTCCACTGATAATTAGTTTTTTTATACTATGTGATGTACCAAAACATACCTTCCCGAAAGACTTCCAGATACTATCGTTCGCTTTTAGAATTGATTAATAACAATACAATAAGCGAATACATATTTTTGAATTCCTCTGTTTACGAATCTCGTGTAACAAGCAAAATCCTCGCCTACAATCTTGGTATTCGCCACAAAATTCATACAAGCAACATTCTATTTCATTTCTATTGATCCTACCTTCCTACGTTACTGTTTAGCTTCCAATTACATGTCTACTTACAATAGAGTATAAAACGTATTAAATACATCAAAAAGATCTAGTAACTTACAATCTTCGATCGCGATACATTTGTCACAAAATTGACAAACATTATCACACAGTACACCGGAAATAAGACTCGTAGACGTCATGCCATCTCTTTCTCCCGCAATAAAAACTTCCAAGATAGAAAGGGTAGGCATGACCGCAGTCCTTCAGATCATTTCAGAAAATAATTTTCAAATAAATGCGAGTCGTATAAAGCCTTATAAATGCGGAAATCATTCCAATGACGTTATAATTCTACAGACAGAAAATTCTCTCGGTATTTTGATGAAAATCAAATATATTTTATAGAAAAATAACTTGTCCTATTCAGTAAATCGGATAGACAAGCTACACTTACACATTTTTTTCAAACGAATTTATTTTTAATCTACTATTAGACATTATGCAATTCACGATTAAATCATAAAACCAAATCCACGTTTTTTTTATATTACGGCAATAGTTTTAACTTTATGCCAGTAAATCCACGTTTAAACCTATCATTATTTTTGTCCTTTAGTAATAAACAAAATTCTAGATATCGCAGCTTGTCTATGCGATACTTATCTGTGGAGTGTCAATGATCAGTCGCTCTGTCTTCTATTGGACGACATTTGTGAGGAGCCAACATTTATATTAAAATATATATTTCTAAACGTAAACCCCAAAAATATGTCAAAGCGCAAATTTAAACTCCTCGTTTCGGAAGAGCGTGATATTTTTTATTTCAGAAGACTACATTCGGAAATATCTGGCACATTTAAACTTACAACAACTAAATCTTAAAAACTGTATTAAAAAAAACAACATGATAGCTGCCAAGTTTGATCACAACTTACACGAAATCATAAAATATATTATAAATCAATTCTTCTATTACAAAACATTATTGCTAATTTAAAAAAAAACTATTTACATTAAACAAAACTGTATTTTAATCTCATTGTTAAATACTCTTCTATAGACGTGTATTGAATTATAGTAACGTATAAACCTTATATGAAATTAAATCCTTTCAAGAGTGACAGAACAACATTCGCGTGAATTTACGTATATTAAAACGACAAGGTTTTGGGGGAAATAAATAAGTTTAAAGAAAAATGTAATGTACCTTTGAGTGGATAGGGGCTGTATAACTTCAAAAAAGGCAAAGTGTGTGACGGTGAAGTGAAGACCACTTCACCGCCCAAAGTAATACTATTTAAAAATACTTTAATAATGAGGGTAGATGTTGAATAAATGCGTGGCTCTAACCACGCATTTATTCAACTAACCTAACATAGGAACAATAAAGTGTGGCGCGATATAACTTTATTTTGGCGCCAAAGGCACGAGACAAAACATTTCTGATGTAAAAGAGAAAAAGTAGGGAAATCATTGTTAAGTTAATTTTATATGTGGGAAGACTAACATTTATAAAATTTCTGTCACTCTTGAACGAATTCTGTTTATGGTATAGTGTAGGCGAAGCGTGTGATGTCGGCGTATTGACTAGCATAGCCACGTCAGAGATCCCTGAGATTCCGACCCGTACGAGGATAAACAATTATTTCAATTTGGAAATCTGTTAAAGGTTTCTCTAGATTTTCTATTTAAAGGTTTCCCATACCTTTTATCTACAAATTTGTAGTTGTCTAGTAACTTTAGTCTGACGTATGACATTTTGAAATGTTCAATGACATTTCGTGTCGCTGTCAATGGTTTAGGCAAAGGAGGTTTAATAACTCATTTGAAATTTTTACTAGTATGAAAATCAACATAAATTTTATAGCACTTCCAAGATTACCGGTATGAACATTAAAAATCGTATCGTTAGACATATTGAGACAATTAACTCATGTACTCCTTGCTTTTTTTTTTTTTTTCAAATAAAGTTTATCCCCGTATTATTCCTATCTGATCTGAGTTAACTAATTCGTTGTCGACTCTGGTATTAGACTTTTCCATTCCTAGGTTTCGAGTTTTATGGGGAAAGCACTAAAATTCTTGCATTAATCAATTATATTATCAAAACAGAGTTTTTATTTTATACGCGTGAAAATTCCATCATAAAACACGTTCCCAGGCGATTCCATTCCCTGATAGTGACTTACATTAATATAGTAGCCAAACATCACAATATGCGTCCGTCAAGTCCGTACATACACTGGACAATTTGCGGATCCCCCGTGTAATACGGGCCTTCAACGAATCGTAAACTTTTAGACGACCGAATCGTGTGTCCTAAATATTTAACTATATATTTAAATTACACTAACTTACATCTATATATGATATAGAAATTGCTTACCTAATTATAATAGAGAACGCTCAAGCCAATTTTTGGTTTATTACGGGCGTTGCTTCAACGCAATATACTATGACTACTAGCTAGTAGTGATGTGGCATATCGATAGTTTCGTGTTATTTGGCCATGCCACGTCACAAATCCACTAAGGTTCGTCAGTCTATTAAAATATCGATAGCACATCACTAAGCAATTTCGTATGTTAGTTATCGCATTGGTATAGAAATATATCAATATATCCCATACTTATTAAAACGTATATAGGAAATCTTAAATTATAATATACATTGCTATACCATTGTTAACTGTTTTATAATAGCAAACGCCCAGTTTCCATTTCCAAACTAGTCGTTAGCTTTACCGGGCGTTAAGATAAGTAGTGAGTACACAGAATTGTCTAGGCTTTATGGTCATAAATACCCTTACAATATAGGCATAATTCGAAATATAATAAGATTATTTTCACAATTTTTCGATAAACTTTTGAATTATTTTGATAAAGAGGAACAACAGACTGTAATTTTGAGGTTTTTCTTGCATTGCCCAATATTTGACACATTCAAAAATTTATTTTAACGCAAGGTCACATATAGTGTAAATGTCAAAGTGTCCGTCTCAGAACCTAAGACTGATCAATGCAGTTTGGAATCGTTTCCGTATAGAAAAACGGAATCGATTCCAAACTGCATAGATTTCTAACAAAACTGATTCACAAATAATTAATTCCAAACGGAATTAATTCTTCATAACATTGATTCCATATGGAATGGAATTCATTCGAAACTGATTTGATTCCAAATTTGTATATAAATTCAATATACACGTAATTTTATAGGAAAAACGTTCCGGGTGGAATCAGTGTCGCGGAATCCTTCTCCCTCAACAAACTGCTTACACCAATTTGCAAATTCAATTAGAATGGAAACAGTCACGTCACAATGTTATTCAAGCAGAAAGAAAGTTAACAGTGGCCGTTTTCGTCTGGAATCATTAAAGTATGGAGTCACTTCTTTACGGAATCGACAACTCCATAAACAACTGACGCTATACCAAATCACATTTTGAAGCTTCATAAAAAGTGACTGATTCCGCCTGGAATCAGGTATGGAGTCACTTCTCCTCGGAATCAACTCTATAAACAACTGACTCTATAGCAAACAAAATTTTAAACCTTCATAAACTCACTGTTTAACGATTCCGTTTGGAATCAAATACTTAAGTATGGAATCACTTAACTACGAAATCAGCCCCATACAAAACTGACTATAGCACATTCAATTCTGAGAACAGTGACCGATTCCGTCTGGAATCACATATGGAGTCACTTCTCAACGTGAACCGCTCAGCAGTTCTGCGTGGCTCTTGGAAGTGGTCGGACGAGATAAAGCTTCTCTCCCTGTTTGTTTGTGTATATTGGGGCGCGTTGGTAATGCGCGACCAGCTGATCGAGCGTGGAAAACTTACGTTGGCCTATACAATAGAGTGTTGCTTCTACGTGCACGCGGAAGTGCTTGTTACGACCCGGCGCTTTAAGGGACACCGAATAATCCCCAACCTGAAATATATTAATTTTAATTATAAGTAAAAATCTATTACTAAAAATCATGAGTGTGTTGTAAATAGCAGTATTGGCCTAGTGGCTTCAGCGTGCGATGCTCATCCTTGAGGTCGTGGGTTCGATACCCGGCTGTGACCAATGGACGTTCTTTTGACGAAAAAGTGGACGGCGGCGGCACAGGAGGCTGATCATCTACTTGTCTATAAGATATACAAATCATCATGAAACATATTTTGAAATTTGAGGATGAAACTCAGAAACCCAGAAACTCATGCGACAGTGGACATGTGACCAATTTCTCCATCCACCGTACGCGTCGACATTGATTATTATAATATTCGTAAGTAAGAATCGTTCAAGAATTACGTCACGCAATTTTTGGAGATTATTGGACCCCCCACCCCTCCCCTCATGTATCGTGCCGTAACGTTTCTCTGTACCCAAGTATAGTAAAATGTTTCGTGACCACTTTGTGACTCTTAATACCTACCTAAAAGTTACGATTATGTGGTGAAAAGTACTGGAAAGTCAATTAACAATAACGCGTACCTAATTCAAACCCCGCCCAGCATCGTAACGTTTTACAAAAAGACCCCCCCCAAATTCGTTACGTAATGCATGAACGCTCCCTAAATTCAAATTTAAAAAAATATATGTATTTTACTTTTTTTAGTTAGATCGATGTAGTTCTTAAGATTATATTTGCAGCACAAAGCACTTGGATATGCAAAACTATTATTAAAAAATAACAGTCCAATGCATTTTGACTCTACGATAATTGTCTCTTATCATCACAGCGTAAACACAATTTGACAGAAAGAGACGACAGTACACATAATTTACTGTAGACTAGCGAAATATTTACATTAGTCTCAGAATCCCGTATAAGGAAGTCCCCGTCGTGCCCGTGCTGGTTGAGTAGCGTGTCGCAATGCGTGCGTGTGATGGCCCCGTAGTACCACGCGCGTGTCCCGAGCCCCGCCCCACTAGAACTCGACCCACCCACTGCGCGGGGCACGGTTTCGTTTGCCTCGCTACAATAAATTAGTTGAAATAGAATAAAAAATGAGATAAGACCGCAGTATATCAATTTAATCGGAGTAAAATGTATTAAGAAACATAATAAAATAAAATTGTTTGAAAGTAGATAATAGTATGAAATAAGCTTAACTTGTTGTCTTATAAATTTCTGTGACTTTTATTTTTGTTTACACATACATAGTCAATGTTGATTATTAAAAGTAAAACAGAAAAATTCAACCAGCTTCAAATACTAAAGTCGGTTTATAGTCCGGTCAATTTCGACCTTTGACCCCGAATAACTTTTGTAGCACACATAGGATTGATGGGGATTTTTAAAACTTTATTTATAATGGTAAACCCCAGCTCTCCATCAATTTTTGGTTCTCCGGGAATTTTTGTTATTTGACCACTATTTTATGTCTAATTTGACCGGACTATTAATAAATCTATACTAATATTAAAAAGAGATAATAAAGAGAAAATTTACAAGGGATAATCTAAAGCAACATACCCAAAAGAATTTTCAAAATAGAAAATTCTTTTACTAATAGTAAGAGACGTCATTGAGAGTGTCATAGGGTATAATATAATACCCCGAAAAACGAAAAGATTTTCCCGTGACAATCGGATTTGCAAAGCCTAAGAAAAACGATCAAACGAAAACGTTTCTTACGAACTCTGCCTTAAAGATTTAGTTCTAAGGAAATGTTAAGCCTTCAAAAAAGTGGGAGTTCGGAATAAATTCAAAAACTACTGCACAAAATCTTTTGTGGATTAGAGGATCGATTATAGAATATACATACATTTACAAGGTCGAGGTTGAACGTGACGGCAGATCGTTAGTAATTAAAAAAAATTACTTAGGGTGCAGATATTAGAATACTTCCAAAAACCTACCTGTAAGGCTGAGCCAGGTAATCAGCTAATTCCTGCAAGTAATTCCGAGGCACCAAACCGACATGCCCTCTGGAATCCCTCGCCCTATACCATTCAGGGTCTGAAGGTGGTCTCTCAATTATTTCTAGGCGATCACCTTTCTCGAACGAAAGCTCTTGCTCGTTGTTCGAGGTGAATGAGTAAAGGGCAACCTGGAAATTATATTGAAAAGAAATTCGATTATACATAAAAACACTTATTTCCAAATATTCTGTCACGCCAAAAAGGAATAACGTTAGCTGGAGCCCTGATGTTTAAAGACATTGATATTAGTTTGTAAATGATCTTTATAAAAAAAACCCATAATTAAAAATACTGATTTCCACGTGTCAGTCACACATCTATTTTTAACTTCACTTCGTAATTTTTTTTTTTTTAAAGACAATTCACACCAATTGACCTAGTCCCATGCTAAGCTGGTGAAGCTTGTGTTATGGGTACTAGGCAAGGGATAAAATAACATATTATAGATAGACATATAAATACATGTTTAAACATCCAAGACCTAAGCACAACACCAAATGCTCATCACATCGATGTTCGTCTCAGCCGGGGATCGAACCCGGGACCCATGGATTCGCAGTCAGGGGCACTAACCACTAGACAAATGAGTCGTCGAATAATGATTTAACAAAAATCATCAATCAATAAATTATATTAATCAGTACTGCTTGATTCTATATTATTCGATACAGGCATCCTTTATTCGAATAAGAATTCTCTTCGAAATCTTCTGGTTGCAAATCTAGCTAAGTATGAGTTATATAATTATCTAGGTATATAAATAAATTATATTTTTATTATCTGTCCTCAATTTCTATTATGTACCTAGTCTATTATGTATCACCTGTATCGAACTGTATATAAATAATAATAATAATTTTTATTTCTTCTCTCAGATATACTGGGTGGCGCAAAAGTAAAGACCCTATTTGGTTCAGCTATAACATTTTTTATAAATTAGAAAACTCGATTTAGGTTTTTTAAATGTATATTTGTGCCATTAAATTTCGTACCATTAGGATTTAAAGATGATGTCTTTTAAATGGTGACCTCCAGAGTTGATGCACATTTAATCCCTATTTATGACATTTTGCATAACTTGCCGTAATACTTCCTGCGATATGTTCCTTATTTCTTGATGAATGTTTTCTTTTAAAGCTGCGAGAGTCTGTGGCTTGTTCACTTACACCCGAGATTTCAAAAAACCCCAAAGAAAGAAGTCTGGCCTCGTCAGATCGGGTGATCTTGCAGGAAATCGTCGACGAAATTCACGTTGTGTTTTTATCACTGATGAATTATTCCGTAAGAACATTGACACGATTATTCCACGTTCTTGGGGAGTAAAACGGTCCATGTTTATTTTCTGTGTATTTTTCATTAATTGTTAACTACACAATTTTCAACAACAGAATGAAAACTATCGTCATATAAAAAAAATAAACAAATTTTCTTTAGTACCAGTACTTTTGCGCCACCCGTTAAATACAAGGTTTTTATGATTAAACTAAGATGACAACATTAGGAAGTGGATGTGAGAGACTGGATAAAAATTATACTGTTACAGATAATCGACACAATTTTCGATAAACTGTTTTAATCTGTATGATGCAGACAAACTTGAGCTTCGTCTTTATGAAGCTCAAGTTTGCCCTTCAGCTGTAATCAACCAACAAAAGCACTTAGCTTAACTTTAGCCTTAAACTCTGGAGCTTATATAGAAATTGTCCTAATTAATTATTGCCTAATTTTTTTTAAATAGTTTGAATTGGAACAAAGGTGTTTCAGCAACTCTTAAGACTAAGAAATTAACCACATGGAACCTTGTCATTAGTAAAGTAAAGAACATAAATTTATATTATATTAAACTTACGACGATATCAAGAACATTTTCCGCCATAGCATATGTATGAACTGTATCCTCGCCATCTTCTTCACTTGTGTAGTTTGATGGAAACCTGTAATCATTTTTTATTAATAGAAAACAACATTTATTTGAGGTCAAAATACTTAAAACGTTAGTTTTGAAAAAAAAAATCTCTTGGACATTACTGAGTCACAGTACAATATTTTTCTATAATAGAACAAGATTGCCAGTTCTTCTCTTTAGTTCTACACCCGTGATTTGAGAACTGGCAGTAAATGTAAAATTAGAAGCATTTAATAAATATTTCTTTTTTTAAGTTCATAAGTGTACATTAAATTACATTACCTATATAAATAAATGATTTTGACTTTTAATATTAAGGGCCGGAATCGCACTTGCGAGTTTTGTATATAGAAATTCTTCTTGGAATGGTAATCGTTTGAAAAAAAAAATTTGCTGATTTTCGGCGGTATGTCGGCCATTTGAAACCGTCCGAAAAGTATGGCATGGCTGTCGTAAATGGCTGCACGACGATGATTAACTGTGCAAAAATTATCCTGGTACAAATGGTTGCTTTTTTTAAATTAACGCATTCGCGTCGGTATGGCGGGCTGTAAGTTACGCCGGAGAAGTATGGCATGACAATGCCGCCTCTTATTTTTTTATGGACTACGGAAAACACTAGAATTTTTGTGGAACAAATCGTTTGACACCTTAATTAATCCGACGAGTTCGAATAACGCCCACGCGATTGGGCCACCAATTTCATTGCGTAATAAGACCGCTGAAGAATCGCCATACTGCAGTATACTGCAGTGTGTGGCACACACACACACATGCCAGTTACAACACGGTAAATACTATGTCTGTAGTTCTGTTGCGGTGATGTATAATGTATTTTTATGATTGTATATATAGCTAACTAACTAATATAATTAGGACAATATTGCAACTAACAACAATAACTTACATACATGATTGTCTGATTAAATGAATAAATTATTATTATTAAAATAAAAACGATACAGTAAAATGAGAAAGTGCACTAGGCCCCTCTTTCCCACTTCCTGTCTCTAGTCTTCTCCATTTGACAAGCTTATTATTACAGATGAGATTCTAGTCATAAATCTGGATTAAGATTTCTATTATAATACTACATTTAATAGTGAAGTTCAATTTAAACAGCTTTAATATGCTCACCATCCAGTATGCCCCTGGTACTGTCCCCTCCACCAGCCATCATTGCTCTTCTCGAGAATGAGTATTCTTGTTCCCTTCGTCAAAGACAGTTCATCAGGCTGCTGGGCCTGATAATTATATTTGACCACAGCAGTCCCTAGGGCTTCGGTGGGCTCAACACGCCGCCCACCGGGAGACTCCGCCCCGCCGCCGCAGCCCCCACGAACTGGGGAGCCACTAGAGGGCAAGGTTTTCGAACCAGAACCCTTTTTAACTTTCTTTTTAATACTGAAAAAAAATATTAAAATATTTCTTTTATAAACTTCTCAACGCAAAGTAGCGAAGAAATCCACTCGCCGAGTTGTATTAATTATGTTACAAATCGAGTATATATCTGATTCCGAAATTATTATTATTTTATTAAAACCTTTTTAACTTCTAAAATACTAAAAGATTTAATTTATATAAGTTGGTGAGACTTTAGTGGGTTTTAGTCGAACATCTTACAAAATATAGAAATTTATTATTTACTCTTTATGTATAATTGGCTGTAGTTACGATTGTACATAAAGATTATACGTTATGTCAGTTTCACTCGACAAACATACAACTCGCTTCGGGTGCAGTATAATAACGCATTTAGGGTGTTGCTGGGGTTGCCTCGCTTTTGCAGTGCATCAGGAATGTTAGCAGAGGCGCGGGTGGATTGCTTTTTCGCCACTATGCGAAAGCGGTGCGCGTCTTTGGTGCTCCGGGTGCGGGGCAGCTCCAGCAACATCTTACGGATGATAGTCGAGAGGATGGAGTGCCCCTGAGATTTACGACACTGCTCCGACATCTCCGCAGGGCTTTGTACCTGATAGTTTTTATTTAACTACTTTTTCCTTATTTTTTACTAATTCTACTGACATAGATCTTAAGAAACTATTGTTACTAACTTACTAATCAATGATTCAATGGACTGTATTTGTCTGATTAATAAAAAATATTATTATTATTATAATCGATTAAGAATTAAGAAGCCCTGTCGAATCAAATCGAAATCGAGCAAAATCGAAAGAAGTTTCTAAAATAATATACATGTTCCAAATTCAAAATAATTAAATAGTTAAACGAGAAAAGTTTTTATGGCTAGACTAGTTATATTATGAAGAAATGTGTACCATTAATTATTTAACGAATTGAAAATGCTTTGTATAAAGTTTTGATTTTATAAAGTTTTCCTTTATATTCGTAATTGAATACTGCAATAATGGTAAGCATGGATTATACAAAATAACAACTTGTAAGAACCTCATTACAAACAATCCTCTTATACGTTTCATTACAATATAAAAGTGCAAATTTATTTATTTCTTTATTAATGTGATTCTCAAACATTTAAATAAAGTTAACCGAATTAGAAGGTATTACCCTCACTTGTAGAATTAGTTGCACTACCAGCAATTTACAATCCTAACATTTTTAATCTTTCCTTGCTATACTGAATATTGGTAAAACCAATTTTGACTATTCTAAAAACATTCTTAACATTTATTATTATCAGCCGCATTATGCATTATATTTACTATAAATTTTATAATTACAAAATACAATGTATGCCAATAATATAAAAAATATTGAATTTTGGATAAGGGAGCGTTCAAGTATTACGTAACGACTTGGGGGGAGGGGGTCCTTTTGTAAAATGTTACGATACGAGGCGGGGATTGAATTACGCGTTATTGTTAATATTATTTTCAACTTTCCAGTACTTTACACCACATAATGGTAACTTTTAGGTATAAAGAGTCACTAGGTGGTCACGAAACGTTTTACTATATTTGGGTACAGAAAAACGTTACGGCGCGTTACTTGGGGGGTCAATAATCTTCAAAAATTGCGTGACGTAATACTTGAACGCTCCCTAACTCTCCAGTCCCTATAGATGTTGTATATGTTTACCTGTCAAATAAAGAAGGTTTCTCCTTTTTAACATAGTTGCTGGGCACATATCCAGATTGGCTGCGGGCATTCTGCACACGCCACCAGTGCTTGGAATCATCGAGGAGTAAATAGCGTTCGTTTTTACGCAAGTCCAGCTCTTGCGCACCTTGGGCTGCGTAATCATACTTGGCTACCACGTAACAGACGTCGTCCTGAAACAGTATTTTTATTTATTTAAACACTTCATTGCATCACAATATAAAAATTTAACATAATTAAATGTAAAGCAACTGGCGGGCTTATCGCTTTCGAGCGATCTCTTCCAGGCAACCAATGTGAGAAAAGAAAAAATTTATTAAATTAGATAAGGTAAGCAAGAAGTGCAAAAATACATATTACATGTTATTAAACAGGAACAAAAAACAGATTCATGAAAAATAAAAAGAAAAAAATGCACATGAATCCCAATAATTTAATTTAAGATCAGTTTCACGTCAATTAGTAGTTAGTACGAAATTTAAGGATTCAATGTCGACAGGTAATGTTTGTACAGAAGAAATTTAAAGGAAGATAGAGAAGAATAGGGACGGGAAGTGAATTTCATAGCCTAACTGCAGAGACCTTAAAGGACTCGCCAAGGAGGAGTTATGAGATGGGATTTCAAGGATATAGTTTTCGGAAGAGCGTAAGCTATAGTTATGGGCTCCCAAAAATTTGAAATCATTTTTTAAATAGGAAGGAGTTTTAGGGTTGAACAGGATGGTATATATAAGAGATGGAGAACATGAGCATCACGTCGCTGACGAATGGGTTACCAGCCTAGCCGCTTACGGAACTCAAAGATATGGTCGTACATTCTTTGTTGCTAAGTGCTGGTTAAATTTGCTTATTTTATTCTCATCAGATTCAAAAGATTATTGTTTCCTCAACAACGTAAGTCTATAAATTGTCTGTACATATTAAGAGTAGACATTAATTATAAATGGATTCTTTAAGTAGACTCAAAAGGATTTAGATAGGGAATGCAATCCCGAGCTCGTGCCATTTTTCGAGATCAATCCCGAAGCGTAACATGACGAGATCTCGTAGGTTTAGCGAGATTGGTATTAGTAGTGGTGAGATTGTATTCCCTAGCTGCGCTTTGCCAAAGTAGATAAAAGCGCTAAGCGCTTCGCAAAGTGAATTCACAAAAAATTTAACAATCAAGATTTATAAAAAAGAAGGATCTTAAAAACACTTAAAAATACAAAATTACAAACAACTAGTTTAAGTCTACTCTTACTCAACTGCCTCAAAGTTTAATCAAGAGAAACAAAATTTTATACTAAAATATGTACCAAATTCTTTGTATTTTATATTTTAACAGAAGAATATTAGCTTGTACAAGCTATTAATCTTCTGTACAAATACAAAATTGTTCATTAAACCAGTCATAAGAGACAAAAATTAAGAATATGGAATATCTTTCAAATTAATCTCCTATTATGGTATTACTTATTTCTACTGTAATAAAACTACACAAGTAAATCATCAAATCAATTATATATAGTCTTATTTTAGTTTAGTTTCCAAAAAAAATATATAAAACCTCTAATTATTGTTGGTAACTTAATTCAATATTGCATAATTCTGATAATAATCAAAATAAATTACAGCACGGTATTAAAAAGGGAAGTACAGAAGGCTGCAACTAGAGAGTCAAAGGATAGAGCAATTAAAATTAACATCAAGTTAATTGTGTATGTGTCATTGAATTCTTTACATTAACATCTAACTTGCATTAATACAGATGTAATTCTATGTACCTGATAATTAATATTATGTAACTACTTATGGAAACTTACTTAAATTTATTAGGGATTAGCTACCTAGATAATTATGAACAAGCTTAAGTTTAAGCTAAATCTACATTGCCTTTGTAAGGAAATTAATGTGTTTAATGGTATGAGACGGTATGGTTTAAGATTTCTTTAATATTGTCTTTGATTTATGCAAATACTACACATTTAAAAACAATTATTTAAAAAGTCAGCTATTAGATTAACATAAATTTAGTCTTTAATATTGCTATGAGACAGTGTTTATTGTATTGTAATGTATTGCGAGTACTACCTACTTTTAGTAGTCAGACCACAACTGTATGTTAATATTGAAACAATTTTGTGTTCCATATAAGATGTATTACATGGTACACTTAAGTGAATGATACTATACACTTGAGGTAGATACACCTACTGATACATATTTTTAGCCCGCAGTATGGCATAGTTCTGAAACACACTACTGCTCATTGAGCATTAAGAGTCCTTACAAGAGCTATAATTATTATTATAAAATTCTATTAGACAAAAGTAAAGAAACTAAGAAATTGTGATAATTATAAAATATTACTATTATTTTTCTCTATTATTTTCCAATTAATAAGGAAAATTACCTGTATAAAGGTTTTCTAAGAGTTTGGAAGTTGTGTAATAGTATTTATGAAACCTACACTAAACAGATGTTAACTTAATATTTCCACTAAACAAAACAAATGAATAATAAGCATTCAAAGGTTTTCTTTTAATTAGTTAAAGGTACAAAAAATACTCTACATTGCCCTAAGTTATTGGATTTCTTTAGATAATATAATTAAGACGGTTTTTACCTGAGCACTTTTACCGTGCCTCGAGTTGGCCATGGCGTGAGGCGCCGGCAGCGGCTTGTTCGCCCACACCGAGTCTGCGGCTCGAACGGACCGCGTTTCCAACATGACACCCAGCTACCCTGGATCGGCCCCAGCCGTCTTCACTGCTTCATTGCAGTCCACACCACTCACCACTGCACTGCACCACACACCATACGTAACTTCAAACTTTTTACTATAATAACTCTTCCGTGGTTTTGCAATAGCATAAAAACCCACGATTGTTCGATATAGGACGTGCGAAAACCTAATCAAAAGGCTCTTAGTGATCTACGACAGACATCGCAATTTAATACGCCTCCGAACACGGGACACTCCACATTGGTCAAAATTTTGTATTTAGTGTTGCATACAACAAGTATGCAATAGTTTATATTTTCTATTCACACAAGAAACATAATGTTAATACTAAATTGTAAAATGAATTAAAAATCTTCACATCAGTCGGTGGGGCAGCAATAAATCAATAGACAAAAGAAAGGAGTTATTTTTATTGGTCTTTCTGCGTTTACCATCGACAAAATGCGACGATAGAGCTTAAATTTGCTAATGCCTTTAAATAGTGTTATATTACTTTATTATTATAGAGGAGAGAAAAAATTATTTAGGTATTATTTATAATATGCTGTTGGAAAAAATAGACATGTTTTGTACTGCAAACAATTACTTGAAATATATATTCTTGAAGACATCCAACGATAAGCTTCTATATTATATTATCTATCGCTTCAGCCTTTAACGTGACAGTGATAAGGGCCAAATTATTATTGACATTCTTTTTATAACGTATCTTAATAAAATTTAGGAACTTTATTACTTTGATCGTGCTTCTGCCTTCTAGGTGCTATGCTTGTCTGTGGAAAGATTGTCATTCTAATTTTTATGTCATTGAATTGTAAAGTGTAAACGTAAAGTTTTATGTAAAGATTTTTGAGTGCAACGTATCGTTAAATGCGATTATTTGGGAACTGTTTATAAATGATTTGTCCATCTGTTAATGACAATGTCTGATTCAGAGGCTAGTAATTTTTCGGGTAGTGGTTCCGAAGCAGGTAGTGTTGCTTCGAATCGTTCAAGAAGAAGTGCTGTATCAAATCGATCAGCAAAATCTCGATCGGTTTCACGTTCAAGATCCCGGTCTCATTCTGGTAGTAGAAGCCCTAATCGCAGCCGAAGCCCTTCTAGATCCCGTTCGCGATCAAGATCACGCTCTCGGTAACTTATGGTTATGTTTTATTCTGTTAATGTCTGAATAAACATAAATACCTAGTAATAAATGGCAACCACGTTATAATTCTGATAAAAATTTTAATTCGAAGCGGTTCCAATTTTAGAAAATAAGTGGCTATCGGCTAACTGAGTGCAGTCGTCATTGTAAATAATATTTTGTTTTTTTACAGAAGCCATTCTGTAGAATCTGGTGGTGGTCGTAATAAAGATGATGAAGCTAAAGAAGCATCTGGTGAGGAGGAGGTAGAGGTAAGAGCTATTTTTATTAATAAAATGTATTTAAGTTCACAGTTTTTGAAGGCAACACAATATAATTACTTATATTATAATAATTCTTATTAACTGGTTCGTGTCTTACCTTTAGGATGAGCAAGAGCCTGAGGGAGAGGATTTAGTTGACTCAGAGGAGTATGATGAAGATGAGGAAGAAGAAAGAAGAAGAAAAAAGCGTAAGAAGGACAGCAGATATGGAGGGTTCATTATTGATGAAGCTGAGGTAATTTTATAATATATAAGACCAATGAAGTCCCGCTACTATTGAATGAATGTAGCTTAGAAAATGATAATAGCAGCAATTAGACTATCTGTAATATGTTTAAAAGTTATTATCTTACTACTAAGTTTATTTTTATCTTGATTTAAATAAATTAATCTTTATTATTGTAATAAATCACAGGTTGACGATGAAGTTGATGAAGATGATGAATGGGAGGAAGGTGCCCAAGAAATGGGTATTGTTGGCAATGAAGTTGATGAAATTGGACCAACTGCCAGGGAAATTGAGGGGCGGCGCAGAGGAACTAATCTCTGGGACTCACAAAAAGAGGAAGAAATAGAGGAATATCTTAGGAATAAATATGCAGATGAATCAGCAGCACTTAGGCACTTCGGTGAAGGTGGTGAAGAAATGTCTGATGAGATTACACAACAAACTCTTCTTCCGGGCATCAAAGACCCCAACTTATGGATGGTCAAATGTAGAATTGGTGAAGAAAAAGCTACAGTTCTCTTACTGATGAGGAAGTACATTACATACCAATTTTCAGAACAACCATTCCAAATTAAGTCAGTTGTGGCACCTGAAGGTGTAAAAGGATACATTTACATAGAAGCTTACAAACAGACTCATGTTAAAGCTATAATAGAAAATGTAGGAAATCTACGAATGGGTGTGTGGAAACAGGAAATGGTTCCTATTAAGGAAATGACAGATGTATTAAGAGTTGTTAAGGAGCAGTCAGGTTTAAAACCAAAACAGTGGGTAAGACTAAAGAGGGGTCTTTATAAAGATGATATAGCTCAAGTAGATTATGTAGATTTAGCTCAAAATCAAGTTCATCTTAAATTATTGCCGAGAATTGATTACACAAGACTGAGAGGTGCCTTAAGAACTGTACAAAGTGAAAGTGAGGCAGCAAAAAGGAAAAAGAAACGTCGTCCAGTTGCAAAGCCGTTTGATCCTGAGGCTATTAGGGCCATCGGTGGTGAGGTAACAAGTGATGGTGACTTTTTAATATTTGAGGGCAACAGATACTCAAGAAAAGGATTCTTATACAAAAACTTTACTATGTCTGCTATACTTGCTGAAGGTGTGAAGCCGACTTTGACAGAATTAGAACGTTTTGAAGAGCAACCCGAAGGGATTGATATTGAACTTGCTGCTCCAGCAAAAGATGATCCCACAAGCTTACATTCATTCTCTATGGGTGATAATGTTGAAGTGTGTTCCGGTGATCTTGCAAACTTACAGGCTAAAATTATTGCGATAGATGGTTCTATGATTACAGTGATGCCAAAACATGATGCTTTAAAAGATCCTTTAGTTTTTAAACCAAATGAATTGAGGAAGTACTTCAAGCAAGGAGACCATGTAAAAGTATTAGCCGGTCGATATGAAGGTGACACGGGTCTTATCGTCAGAGTGGAGCCACAACGAGTTGTGCTCGTATCAGATCTAACAATGCACGAATTAGAAGTTTTACCACGCGATCTTCAACTTTGCTCAGATATGGCCACTGGAGTGGATTCTCTTGGTCAATTCCAATGGGGTGATATGGTCCAATTGGATCCGCAAACGGTGGGCGTTATCGTACGTTTAGAAAAAGAAAATTTCCACGTCCTAGGCATGCAAGGGAAAGTCTTAGAATGCAAGCCTCAAGCCCTTCAAAAGCGTCGTGAGCAACGCTCCACAATGGCTCTGGACGCTGATCAAAATACAATTCAGAAGAAGGATATCGTCAAAGTGATCGACGGGCCACACGCAGGTCGTTCCGGCGAAATAAAGCATTTGTACAGAAATTTTGCATTCCTACAATCGAGGATGTATCTGGATAATGGTGGTATTTTTGTGTGCAAAAACCGCCATTTACAGTTAGCTGGTGGGGCAAAGAGTAATGCGACAACAAATAGTCTGGGATTGGGTTTCATGTCCCCGCGTATTCAGTCGCCGATGCATCCGTCCGGACGTGGAGGAGCAAGTGTGAGGGAAAGAGGGGGCCGATGGGGGAGAGGGGGCATGGTGGCGAGGGACAGGGAGCTAATTGGCGTGACGATAAAGATCACTGGCGGTCCATACAAGGGAAATGTGGGCATAGTGAAGGATGCCACAGCTAGTACCGCGAGAGTGGAGCTTCACTCGACCTGTCAGACAATATCCGTGGACCGCAGCCATATTGCAGCTGCAGCAGGTGCAGGAGGCACGGCACGTGGAGGAGCATCCAGGTACATATACATTTTTTTGACTGAAACAATTAAATGTTTCTTTTGCTTTAAAATATTTCGGTGAATTAAAATGTTACATACACCTCATAATAAAATAACTAAGGTTTTTTTTGGTGTATTTTTATTAAAAATACATTTTTAATATTCCAGTTACAGCCGTACCCCAATACGGGCGTCTGGGGCTCATACCCCCACATACCGAGACACTGGCATCAAGACCCCCATGCATGGATCGGCGACACCCATTTACGAGGCTGGAAGTCGTACCCCGCATTATGGCTCGAGTACCCCTGCACACGAGGGCAGTCGTACCCCAGCCCATGGGGCATGGGACCCCACAGCTGCGAACACACCCGCGAGGCAAGACTTCGATTATGGATTGGATGACGAACCCCCATCTACTTATGAGGGTACTTCGTATACACAGGTAATTTTTAGGTTATATCAAAATGTAGATAAATATATAAAGACAGTTGTAAACAGTGCTGTCCAAAGCAGTCATGCGATTCTAATCAATATGAGAAGTTTTGCGAACTAAGGGAAGTTCCGGCTAAAACCAATGGGACTTGTCTGTGTGCGAATTTAACACTCTTGAAGCTAAACATCGTGAGAAAACCGGCATGCCATGCCATTGCCCTTTAGAAATAAATACTATTCTTCATTTAGGACAATTCTTGATTTGGGTCTTTAAAAATAACAATAGAATAGTGACGGATCTGACAAATAGTAAACTTTACAGGGCAGCCATTTCAAAATAATATAATCATGTTAGTTTTTTTGTCATATCTTTTTTAATTCATATTCTGTAATTATGAAAATTGGCATACAAGCAAACAAAAGGGTTTGTTTTGAAACAATAAAAATAATAACATTAAATTACAAAGTTTTCTAGAAAAATCACATGCTTCTTTGAGCGTACTTATCAAATCCGTCTAAAAATAATTTTTTTAACACATAACACATGGATTTTTTTAATGTAGCCGTAATATTTAGTCAATGTAGTATCGAAATGTGATAAAAAGTGGATTTTGAATTTTTTTCAAATCCGACATTGTTATACGATCATGACGATATTTCCTTCATATATTAATAATAACTTTTATATCTGAATTTTTCAGGGTCCCTTCACACCACAAACTCCAGGAACAATGTACGGCTCAGACCATACATACAGCCCGTATCGTCCCAGTCCCAGTCCCAGTGGCTATACCGGAGGATATATGGGTACACCCAGTCCTGGCGGATATTCCCCCCGCTCCCCTTACGCGGGGGGTTCCCCTACTCCCGATTGGCATGCGCCAGATCTTGAAGTCAGAATTCGGGATAGTGATAGTGGCTTGGGAGGCCAAACGGGGGCTTTGAGGGGCGTTAGTGGAGGTGTGTGTACGGTATACCTCCAGGGTGAAGATAGGTCGGTCAGTTTGCAAGCTGACTTGTTGGAGCCGGTCGTTCCGCAGCGCGGGGACAAAGTTAAGGTGAGTTCAAAAGTCAAAAACTCTCCGCCACTCTTTTTAATCGCCAAGTTTTTTGTTTTACACAACGTTTGTAAGGAGCTGCAACCATTACACCGTGTTCCACATGACATCTTAAGTAATAAATAATAATAAATTAAACTGAAAAAAAAAGATTTGTCCTCTATCAGCAGGCACGAACCCCCTTATTCCTAAAGAACAAAGGTTTATTCTTCAAAAACGAAACTGGGCATTAAAATATAACTTTGTAAAAACCAATTAAAAAAATATATAGCTATGAAAGTGTATAATACGTTTGCCACCGAGATTGTTCTTGTCAGTATGAATATTCTTCACAGAAAATAAAATAGTTTTTCTTAATAGGCAAATATCCCAAAGATAGGAATTCAACTTCCAATTCCACGATTAAGCCCATGTGATTTAACAATACTATTATTACATTTTCCATGAGGTTTCCCCGAGATCTTTGGTTCGATCCCCGGCTGTGCACCAATGGAGTTTCATTCTATGTGCGCATTTAACATTCGATCGAACGGCGAAGGAAAACATCGTGAGGAAACCGGCTTGCCTTAGACCCAAAAAGCCGACGGCGTGTGTCAGGAATAGGGTGCTGATCACCTACTTGCCTATTAGATTGACAAATGATCATGAAACAGATTCAGATATCTGAGGCCCAGACCTAAAATGGTTGTAGCGATGATGATTTATTTTATTACATTTTCCATAAATTAATTTAATTTAGAAGCTAAGGCGACTAAGGTTATGAAAAATTACGTCTTTAAAAAGACATGCATAGCAGTCGACTATTTCAGTATGACTGCAAAAACTTATTGAATTTGACTTTGACAGAAGTCATACTTAGCCTAAGTCTCGATTCTTCGCAACGACACTTCTACAAAATTGTTGTCAATGTTGGTTAAAACAAAGGTATTTTCCAGGTTATATCTGGCGATGACCGTGAGGCTGTAGGTCAATTAATCTCGATCGAGGACAAGGAGGGCGTGGTCAAATTTGTCGGCACAGACGACATCAAGATTATGCAGTTGCGGCGTCTTTGCAAAATGGCCACAGCTTAGATATTGTTATAATTTGTCTCATGTAAAAATATAGTAGCTTTGCATTTTAAGCCATTGACGTTTAAGTGTAATTCCCGCCAAATAGTTGACATTAGATTGCTCAGTTTTGTAGTCTGTGCGGAAAGTGAACCCTCGTGGGACTTGAGAGCGCAGCAGTGCTAAATTACTGTTTTAGTTATATTGACAAATGTTACGTCACTATAGTGCGACAGTAACACTTGATACAATGAAAAAATTAAGTTTATAATTTGTGTGAATAAATGATATTACGCTAACGTCCTGTTCTCTTTACGCACAGACTAGTAAATCATAAAAACAAATAAATTATCAGTTTAATCAGTGGAAACATTTCCGAGTTTCAAGATCGGTTCAGTTTCTTCGTAATATACATATTTTAATTTTCCGTTGACATGTATTTGAAGTCGATTTATTTTTTCTGAATTATATTTCATATTAAATTACATTCACCAAACCTCATTTGTCTGCTTATTTGGTAAATTGTCATACAAAATCTTTGACCCCATGTGTCAGTGTGTGTTTTCCTGATTAGTGGTACTTGATTCCTAACGAACTATTTCCAATAGGTTTTATTTTATTTCTCATGTTATTTCAATTCCTATAATGTAAGAAAAAACCTGGTAACGTTATGTTGTATAGGCTACTGTTTGTTATTGAAGTACTTACTTGTGAAGAAGTACTTAGCATATTACTAAAATATACTATGCATTTTTGAACATTCGCTATGCAGAATTTTACCAAGTTAGGTATGTACCACAATTTTTTTATAATTTAGTAAAATTTCTTTCAATGCAAAGCTCACAATTTCTATATTTTAATGACACCGTATGGAATACATTATTTTTGACATATTAAACAGGTTTGTTGAAATTATAACAGATTTTAGTTAATAAATAAAATAAATCAAAATGCTTTTTATTTTTTAATACTATTCCTACGCCCTAAAGGGAGGATGATGGCCGGAATGAAGGCCCCAGTGGCTAAGGTCAAGATTTATACTTGGGCTGTTCAATAAAAATTTGATAATGGGTAGGACAAAATTATCTTTGAATTTGATTTTATTTTCGAACCTTTCAGGATTTTATACTTTGTATATATTTGTTCTAAAGCTAAATTTTATTTTTTAAATGATACATAAAAAAATCTTGTAGCGCATCAAAAACAGAAAACTGCGTCATCTTGTAAATGTAAGAGATGTTTTAACAGCGGAAATAGAAAGAAATTACTATTAGCTAGGTTCACCGGTGATTCACGGGTGACCGTGATTGATCTTAAATGGCAGACAGACATAAATAAACACTTGACTTGCTTGACTACAAATCAAGCGAGTTTGCCACGCCGTTGCGTGCGTATTTTCTCATATAACTTTGTTATGTTTGTTATCCTGCGTGGAAATTCATCGTCATAGTGGCTCCTTGATTAGGATATTCATATTGGTAGGGGAGCCCACGATGCTAAATGGGGATTTACTCGAGCGTCGTAGAGACCTATTGGGATGCAAAGCTTAGATAATAAGAAGAAAAAAATGTTATATGATAAATTCCTTTTCATCGGTGGGGGAAGCGGCTATAGATAGTTAAATATGTAAAAAAAACTGTTGCATGGACATCCTCGAGCGCGTCAGATATTGATAGCATCTATGCCCTACGTATTTTTAATAATGTACGTATGTTAATCTGATCGTTTGCATGATGCGGGTGGTTGTATTTAAGGGTTGAAAATGAAAAAAAAAAAATTATCGAGCGCGTCAGATTTTCTAAGGGAGTGTTAAGTGCACCAAAAAAAGCTCTCATTCACTAATCTGACGATTTCGATGGGACGCAAAAACACAGGCATTTTCGTAATTTGCAAAAAAAAATCGCAATTTTGAAATACTCAAGCGCGTCAGATTAAGATATATGTGGTTCATCTTTATGTTCTAAACGTACTGTCTCATAATCTGACGATTATCTAGAGGGATTCGCCTGATCTGACAAAAAAAATTTAGAAAAACGGTTCACCTAAAGGGCCATCCCTGCAACTTCCCGCTAATTCCATTCCTGGGCGCTTAAAATTGATATTTTGAGCTCGCTGAGTTCAAAGAAATAACATTTCTATGCATTTGAGCTCTCCCAGCTCGAAAGTCTGATAGAAGTGTCATAGAACACTATTTTTGGAATTTTCAAACCGCAATAACTTTTGAATGGATCAAGCAATTTTCACGCGGTTGGCGGCATTCGACGCAGTTTTATCATTCCCATAAGTAATTTTGCAATTTTAATTGATCGAACCACAAATTTCGGAATAATCCCGAATAAACACTTTTTCGGGTTTCTTTCGTTCACGATATCTCTCGAACGAATAAACCGCTTTTGACCAGCTTAGTGGCGATCAACGTGGTTTTTCAAGCTCAAAGGCGGATTAGTTTTTGAAGTTGATCGATAAAGAAACCACTTTAAAAAAAAATATTTCTTATTTTTTTAAGATTTTTCAAAATTTCTCAAAATCTATCGGTCCGAATCGGTTCAAATTCACAGGAAATGTAATTTTGAGGGAAATATTTAGAACGCCGTTTAGGAGATTCCGATCGGTTTAAGGAAATGTAGGCATCACGCAGCTGCACGCATTTAACTTTATCGACGAATTTTTGTTATTTCGGCTTGCGGAAATCGTCAGATTATATATTTTTCATTATTCTTGAATTATTTCCTTCAAAATAAAAAAAAATTAGCTACGCTCGAGAATGTCGAGATGACGTTTTTTTTTACAACTTTGTTGCCCTCCCCTTTTTTTCCGTCACTCTCAAATTGTCAGATTAGTGGAATATACACTTTTTAGGATGTAATTAACTCACCCTACCTTAATCTGATGCGCTCGGGAATTTCTGATGGTCAATTTTTTTTTACTAATCTGATCCTGTCTCCTTCACAGGCGGCCTTATATATGGACCTCATGTTTTGTGGAGGTACTTAACCGAGTACAAGCTATCCCCCTGTATATTAATCTGCCGCGCTTTAGTAAATCCCGAAATCCCCTCTTGGGCTCCCCTACCATATGTCACAGAAAAAAATATTGCTTTTTTATTAATATAATTGCAATGTCTGGCCATATTTATTTTCATTCCAAGGAAAAATATATTTCATTATCTATATTTATTGAACACACCCCGTATGATTAGCGGTCGAAATAACGTTGATAGCGCGTGTCAGTGTATGACGTAATCGTTCCTGCAGAAAAATAATAATCAGTATTCTGAGTTAAATATTTTTATATAAAAAGAATTATTTATCAATTATAATTGACAGGTTAAACATGAAGAACCCGTAAAATGTAAATGCATTCATATAGATAACACAATGTAGAGAGAGAAAATTAATGTTTCTAAATTTACATTTACTGTCAGTTGTCATTTGTCAATTCAAGAGCGAGAGAGGGATCTATAACCATTTCAAACTTAAACAATGAGTAGAATAAATTAAATAATTGTAATGTAAAAATGTGATAGTGAAAGTTTAATTATATAACAATTATCTTGCATATTAAACAAACCACAAATAATCAAATAGCCATTAATTGCAGAAATTAGACGCCTGTGTCATTTATACTTGCATACTTTCCGATATTACTTACGAAATATGTATCATTATTATTATAAATTATCGTAAATGTTTATAACCTGTAGTAACAACGAATGGAAACTTTACAATAAACAATCACGGGCTCCCTGACGGTCATGAGCTCATGGTATTTTTGTTGTACAATTATCTATTAATGTAACTTTGTACACGATAATATAGAATAAATAGTTTTAATTAAGACCTATCGCAAACAGATGTTTTGGAAACTGTGGCCGTAGTCGACTTTAGCTTAGGGATGATCGATGTTAGAAAAACATCGATATTGACATCGATGTCATAATCGAAAGCCCAACATCGATGTTCGATATTTATCAAAAACAAAACTCGTTCTCGTTCAGTCAGTTAAAAAAAAATTGGAATATGTAATAATTTGCTCTGTTTCTTAATAAATATCGAACCATTTCACTATATTTTATTTCTTTGTCAATTATTAATGCAAAAATCATCGATGTTATCCAACATCGATGTTTTTGCTTTCAACATCGATGATCATCGAGCATCCCTACTTTAGCTTCTCAACGATTCCTTAGGGTGCGTACAGACTATGTAACATGTTATATAACTTGTGTTTTTTAACACGTCCACAGTATGTAACCTTGTTATTCAACATTATAACATAAAACAATACTGTACACATTAGAATAACAATGCAATATAACAATGTTATATAACCATTGTCGTTTGTCGTTCTCCAGTAGGGATGTGACATTCTGCATAAAAAATAGATTTTTTAGTAATCGATTATTAAATATGGCAACCAAGAGGCCATAAAAGAAACAGAGGTAGGCAATTTAAAAGGTGGGCCGATGAAATCATGGAAATGGCAGGAAAGACTAAGACCTGGACGAGATTGGTATACAATAAGGAAAAATGGAGGACAATGGGGGACAATGGGGGAGGCCTTTGCCCGTAGGCACACAGAATCGGTTATCGTAGATTAAGAAAAATAACAGTTAAAATGTATATATTTAGTATTTCTGATAAGGCTGTAAATAAATAATAAATAATCGATTTTTTTATTAATCGATTTTTTCCTAATTTTTGAATTAATTTCAAAATAATCACCCTAAGTATCTTATTTTTCATGGTTTTTTTACTGAAAAATAAACAATAGAAATTATAAACACAAATTAACGTTTAAGAATAATCAAAATCAAAATTAACTTAATCTCGTTTTGATAGATTTTAGGTGAAATTTGATAAATGCTTAGTTATGCCTTTTCAGTAGCAAATTGCAGTATTTTTGTTGTCTTTTTAATTGTATGTTATCTTGTGCTGCTGAATAAATTTATTTTACTTTTAAATTATAGCGTTCCATTCAAACTTGAGTCTTTGTACCTAAAATTAACTGGTTTTATCATCCTTTCGATGTTTTATAAAAAAAACATCAATACATCTTCAAAGAATCGTATTCAATGTATCGCATTCTAAACATCGATGTATATCAAATATCCGTAATAGTTCGAGGTCCGGGTTATAAAAGACCAAACATAATGTCGGGAGGTGGCAGTGGAAAGGTGACTATGATTTATTTTCAATTATAAAAATAATCGATCAATAATCGATTATTTTAAATATAAAAATCGCGTAAAAAAATCGATTTTAATAGATTTTTTTAATAATAGATTATTTTTTCACATCCCTATTCTCCAGTGCTATCCACAATGTCGACACGAGAGGACGTTTTGCTGGCTGCGGCAGCGACTGTTGTAATTTTAAATAACAAAAGAAATACAAAAAAAACCTAGATGCTGGGTTCATATCAATAACATAACAATATAACATTGTGGTACATATCAATAACTTGTTATTATAACATGTTTTATAACATTTAGTGTCCACATTATCTGAAATATGTTGTATAGCAATGTTGTATAACATGTTATGTTATATAGTCTGTACGCACCGTTAGCTCGCGCGAATGTGTGAGGACATGAGTCATGACTGGTTTTAAAAGTCGTTCACCGACACCGACTCGTTTCATACTGACTTGCGAATTGTGACTTGGTCATTTGCGTCCGCGTAGAATACCAAACATACCGCGCTGTGTAAAATGTTATTATCATTGTTGTGGTAAGTTATTAATTTTCATTAATTCATAAACAGTGACAGTACCTATATACGGATGCGTACAAATCTGCGTGCATGGACTTAAATTGCAAATTCAATACTTAAAATACGTACCCACAAGTAGAAAATGTGTACTATCGATAAATTGTATAAAATCAATGTTAATCAGTCTTCTCGGTATTTTGAAGTTGAAGGAATAGTATCTTGCTCTCGAATGTGTGATAATTTGTAAGTCCAGGCTTCCCTAATCTATACAATTTTAAGTGTTTATCATGCACAGATCGGTCAATTGTTTTTTTAAAATTCTTTGGACGTATTAAAAATTTAATTGTATATTTTTAATTGTTAATAGGTACATATTTTGATAAAACTCTTATTTACTTGAGTACTACCCCTCGTATTTATGTAATCGCTTGTTATTGTGAAGTCTTGGTAATTTGAAATTTATCTCTGAAAATTTCAAATTATCGAGAGTCGACGGTATTTTTAAAAGAGGACATTTATTCAACTTTTTTATGTAAACATTAAGTACACAAATTTATTATATTATTTACATAATTCGACAGTTTCCAGTCTTTACATCGGTGGTCAGCGTGAGTACTATATTTATTTAAATACGTGTAATAATCAGTTATAATTGTTTAACAGCTTAACTCTTTTTGGGTCAACCCTTTCATCTCCACCTTTAATACTCACGCCATTGCTTGAACAAAATCGCACAGAGGAAGCAAGAAATGCATCAGCCGTTGACCCCAATTACTTTCTTCAAACTAAGAGTTACACGGGATTTTTAAGCGTCGAAGACGATAGTAATCTATTCTTCTGGTATTTTCCTGTGAGCGGCACCAATGTGCCATGGGTTTTGTGGCTTCAGGACGAAGTTGGTATGACAAGCTTGGAGGGTCTATTTTCTCAAATTGGGCCTTTTTACTTCGTCCGTAATGATACCAGGTTCGTTCCGATCAAGGAAAGGAATTCATTGAAAGGTATGTAATTTTTTACAAATAATGAAGCTTCATCGATCCAAGTAATTTCAAAACTCAAAACTCAAAATATCTTTATTCATGTAGGTAAACAAGTAGGTACGTATGAATTGTCAGAAAGAAGTTAAATTAATTGTAAATTTACATTTACTACCAGCTTGCAAGTCAAGGACGTAGAGCGGGTAAGAAGAACTGGCAAGAAACTTTCCGCCACTCTTTTTAATCGCCAAGTATTGTCATACAAATTGTTTGAACTGGAGCAAATCAATCCCAAGGATTAGGATCATTTAAGTATTCCTCAAATTTATAAAAAGCTTTATTGATTAATTTTCGTTTAACGAGGGCTTTGAATTTATTCAGTGATAATTTTCTAATTTCGCTTGGGAGTTTGTTGTAAAAACGAATACAATTTCCATATAAGAAGCGGTTTATCTTTTGGAGCCTGGCTGGTCGTACACTCAAATTAGTTCTATTTCGCGTATTATACTGATCGTATTTCATATTTCAGTAGTGAAGAATACGACTGAGAAGAATTTTCTTCTTTTTTATTTACGAGTAGATACTCGTAATTATGTATTCAAAACAATATTTTCTTTGTATTAAAAATACTTTTAATTTTTCCAGAAAGGGAGTATTCATGGAACAAACAGTTTTCTATGGTGTTTTTGGAAAACTGTGCAGGTGCAGGTTTCAGCTTTGGTAATGACTTAACAAGAACTAAGGAAAGTGTAAGTTTTTAGATGAAATTTTTTGTAAAGTGCTTTTTGGAATTATAATAAAATTATTTATTTATAAATAATAATAAAAAAAAAAAATTTTTTACAATTATTTATTTTTGCGTGTTTGTAATGGTGAACTTTTGAAGTTAAACCATGAAACTGATTGAATTTTTCTTTTATAAAGTTATTTTTATGTTACATAGTCTAAATCAGTTTCCCAAATTGAATAAATTCCTTATATTGCCTTTCAAAAATTTAGAGCCAAATGAACATACATAATTATTAATATTAAAAAAAACGTGTGTGAACTATGTACACGCGTTAGAAGTTTTTGGCGTAACAAGATAAAAATCTTTTCAAAAATTTTATTCTACGTTTTTAGAAACACTAACTATAGAAAAAACTAAAATGTTGACTATAGCTAACTTCAAGGTGTCGGTTTTTTGTCACTGTATGCGCTTGCATCGTAAAAATTTACTCTCATCACTATACCCTAACGCGCCAAAAGAAGTATTACTTCAAAAAGTTTAATTGTTCACTTAAACTTGAAACTGAAATGATAGGTTTAATAAGAAATTTTTAGTGAAACACAGTAAGTAAATTTTCAAAAGATACATAAATTATATCATTCAAATTACCCCCAGTGGGACGTGAACCGCACGTTGGGAAATATGATATAATACGACATAGTAAATGCAGGTTTAAGCTGTCTACACACCGCAGCCGCCGCCGGCCCGCCGGCACGAACCCGGCGGGCAAGGCCGGCGGCCTTAGTTTTACGATGTTGCCGGCGGCTTGCGCCCGCGCGATCTTCCCCGCGGCACGCCCCTCTCCGCTCTTCACCACCGGTTGCCCACCGGCTTTTAAGAAATAGTGACGCGTCAGTGTTTTTATCGACTAAACATTATGGAATCCGTTAATGAAGTGGAGAGAAAAATAAAAAATTTAACAAGTCACTAGCAAGCACTTGGCAATCACTAATTGTGAACACTGCATGCCGCGACTGTATGTCGTGCCGCCGGGAAAATTGTCAGGCTCGCAACTTCTAAAGCCGCCGGGTTCACCCGCCGGCATTAACCCGCCGGGTTCGTGCCGGCGGGCCGGCGGCTGCGGTGTGTAGACAGCTTAATACGCTGAGCACAGCTAGTATACTATAGAAATTAAAATAATTTTTTAAAATATTTCTAAGATATATGATATTCTTAGAAATCACAAACGATAAATATTAAAAGAAAGAAAACACTCAACCTAGGAAGTTTTATTCCTTACCAAACAATTTTTAATTAACTAATTACCACAATGAAAATTATATTCAACCAGAAAATAATATTTGACACAACTCAATAAAAAATAAAACACTAAAGCGTCCGTCACGTCCGAGAGCCAATCGCAGAATACCCCCAGTGTTCCCAGTTCTACTCCTCTCTGTTACCCCTCACTCGGTCCGACTTGCTCTGTGGAGATTGTTTTCTAAGAATATCTTTATTAAATGCATTATCTATGTATGGACTATTAATACGTACACGTACTATAATAATATATTATATTTTATTATTAATTTATTTTAATCACGAGTACATTATTTCTATATACTACAGTGACTTGTATCTCTGGTAAAATTTTAAAAGGAAATATTTGTATATCTGTATGTAAACGAATTAACTCACAACTACTGTAGGTATATAAAAAAACTGAAAATTAAATGTTTTAATATTACAATTCTGCTTTATCCCCGTTATCAAAGATATTTTAAATATAAAGATCCACCCGGGACACGCCGCTATTGTATTAAAAAAAAATGATTGTATAATATTGCTATTTTATAATATATAATGTTTTTTTTTTTCAATTCGTGTTTTGCAGCTCTCAACACACTTGCTAAGGGCGGTTCAACAACTGGTACAAATATATCCGGAGCTGTCTACAGCTCCCCTTTATATCGCTGGTGAAGGTTATGCCGGGCATTTCATACCCGATCTAGCCTTGAAAATTCATGAAGCTAAAAATGATTCGGCAACAATTAATCTACAGGTATGTTTTATAAATTGAGCCGTCTTAGCTTTAGCGTGCGTCTATCGACACTGAGGTCGTAGGTTCGATCCCCGGCTGTGTAAAAATAGACTTTACGTATATATTATGCACATTTAACATTCGTTCGAACGGTGAAGGAAAACATCGTGAGGAAACCGGCTTGTCTTAAACCCTAAAAAGTTGACGCACAATACTTGCCTCTTTGATTAACAAATGAGGATCATGATACAGAAATCTGAGGTCCAGACCTAAAAAAAGGTTGCAGCGGCACTGGTTTCTTTTATTTCTATAGGTCGTAGATTTATTTATTACGAAACAAACACATACATAACTAGTAAACCTCGTAGAAACAGAAAATCAATTGTAGAAAATAGAATATACCAAAAGTGTTTCACAGATTCATTTTCAATGTGATTCGGTAAAAATGACAAAAATACTAATTATAACAATAAAAAAAGATACAAGACTTAAGTATCTTTAGTTTTAATAATTCGCTTGCCCCTACAGTCATAAAGCACTATTACGAGTGTTTTAATGTTTTCTCATTTTTGACTTCCTTGGGATGTACTATAACTGTATATTTTTGCAAAACATTTTACTATAAAAAGGGATGTCTTTATTCTACAGAATTATTTATGCACAATGTTAGTAATACTCGTTTACCTATCTTACCTGAAATAGATCGCAACAACCATAAATATAGCTTTAGTTCAGATAACTCTACTAAAAAATCATAAAAGTTAATGCGACTGTTTATAAACGAAGAAAGAGTGGAATGAATCTGTAAGATTAGCTTTTAAGTTTTTAGTTTGTTATTAATATATATATTATATATATATTTTTGTATTACTTTAGATTAAGGTTCTATATTTTTTTTTATATAACATTTGGTTCTGCACTTCTCGCACTCATAATGTTTCTTTTTTTAGTTTTTCTCATTAACTAGGGTTGCCTGGAAGAGATCGCTTATTAGCGATAAGGCCGCCCGTTGCATCCCTTATAATTTTTTATTGCAACGAAGTGTAAACAAATAAATAAATAAAATAAATAAATAATATATCCCTGTTTCACCAAGGTCCATAATATTTCCGCGAAAAGAGTGGTAAACATACATACGTTCTAAACATTCGTCAAAATGTGCCGTCGTAATGTGTCACCCGTTAATATATTTATTATAGAGAAACAATCGAAAACGCTTTTCCTCTTCATAATAGTCTAATTAGATGAATTACTGTAATGTACATTTAGTTATTTTTTAACTATTTACACTAAATACATAACAACAATGTTGAAATCGTCGAATAGGATAAAAATGCTTTCATTTGATATATTTGTAATGACATAGTACATAGACATATCATTTATTACAAACACACACACACATAAACAAACAAAATAACAATAATCAACGAAAATTAAATAAAAAATATAATGAGAGATATATAAAAAAAAATTGTGCGTGTACTAGGTGTACACACGTAAGAAGTGAAACTTCTTTATGATCTTATTTTTCGAAAAATGATCTACTATAAGCAACTTTACAGAAATTCGTTAAATTAGATAAAGTTTAACAAAAGGCTTTTATTATCATAGACATGAATACAAATATTTCATTTTACCTTATTACTACGAAGATTATTATAGAATTTCATTAATTGTAATACAGTAGAACCTCGTTAAATCGAACCTCGATAAGTCAAAAACCTCTAAATCTCGAAAAAAATGTTTTGTTCCCTTCCCTTAAAACACCAAAACCTCCATTACTTGAAATCTTGACCCTCTGTTAATCGAAATAATCACCGAGTCCCTCCAAGCCATTTTGGTACATATTTTCACTCTATAACTCGAAAAATTAAATTTGACCTCTGTATCTCGAACATAGGAACGTTTTGTGCGTGCGATGATGGAGTTATGACTGCTGGGACATTATCTGATGACGAAATTATCGATTCAGTAGCAGTAGTAGACGTGAATAGTACATGCGCTCCATGGGTTTCCATCAAAGAGGCGCGAACCGCATTGAATACCTTACGTAATTTTATAGAGCAAACCAGTACCTAACTCTGAAGAAGAAGAATTTTCTGCTCTTTATAGATTAGACAATGCTATAGATAGAGAACAACCAAATTATCTAAAGCAAAAAAAAATGACTGACTTTTATTAATACCATATTTTTTATTTTAAAATGATTTGAAATAATGTTGATTTATAATAAATAAAAATATGTTTGTCACCTCTGCAAGTTGAATTTCTATTTATTTTACCTCTCGAACTCAAAATTTATAAGAATAAACCTCAAACTCTTTATGTCGAATCAAAATCCGCCTAAGTCGAAATCCTCCATAAGTTGAAAACTCTATAACTCGAATTTTTTGGCGTCTCCCTTGATGTTCGACTTATAGAGGTTCTACTGTAGTATTATTACTATCATTGAAAAACGTGACGATTTGCTACAAAATTTCTCCTATACGTCGATAAAGAAGTTTCATTCCAACGCCGATAAAGAAGTTTGACTTCAAAAAGCAACATGGCGCGTAACCGAAAAATGTGACGCGTAACGAAAAAATGTTACACTAAATTTTTTTCCAACCTCGATAAAGAAGTTTCACTTCAAAAAAAAAATGTGTGCGTGTACTAGTGTACAGTGTACACACGTAAGAAGTGAAACTTCTTTATGACCTTATTTTTCGAAAAATTATCTACTAGGTATATGCAACTTTACAGAAATTGGTCAAATAAAGTTAAATTAGATAAAGTATAACAAACGGCTTTTATTACTATAGACATTGATACAAGTAATAGAATTATTACTATAATTGTTATCGTTATCATATATTTTTGTTATTAATGGCTTCGAATCTCTTCGAATCAACCGTGGTAGGGACAAGAAAAAGATGCGCTTAACGGTTAAATGTGACGCGTAACCGAAAAACCGGTAATTTTTTATATATAAAGAAGTTTCACTTCAAAAAAATCCCTTTTCCCATTCGGTTTGTTTCAAGTGTGTGTGCTGTGGCTGTAATTGGCCCAGGCTCAGCATTATGCTGAGGAGCAGACTGATCCACAGCTCATTGTCATGGTCATTCTGCCAGAGTACACATCACCTAGTTTAATAAAACCTTCTTTTATTTTTCCTGAAAAAAAAATAGCGAGCATAGGCAAGCGAATTAGTCTTTTAAATTTTATATCTTATATTTCAGGGTCTAATTTTAGGTCACCCAGTTTTGAATGCAGAGAGTATTCAAGATTACATATCGGTGTTTCTTGGCTTTGGATTAATTGATAGTCAAGGTGCCATTGCAGCAAAGCCACTACAGGACAAATATCTTCAGGAAATTAACGTAGATCGCTCAAGCTCTAATGCATTCTCAGTAAGTAAAGTCAAAGATCATTTATTCATATAGGTAACACAATGTACACTTATGAACGTCAAAAACGAAATATACATTAAATGCTTCTAATTTTACATTTACTGCCAGTTCTCAAATCAAGGGCGTAGAACGGAAGAGAAGAAGTGGCAATAAACTCTCCGCCACTGTTTTTAATCGCCAATTTTTGATGTCGCATTTGTACTTATAAGTACACGCACGCTTTTTTTTTGGTTTTACACAACGTTTGTAAGGAGCTGCAACCATTACACCATGTTCCACATGACATCTTAAGTAATAAATAATAATCAAATAAATTAAAAACAAAGACTTGTCCTCTATCAGCAGGAGGCATGGTGAAATAGGAGCACGCAACTAACATTCTCGTGGGATGGGGGGGAATGTTAAAGGCGTGAGAGCTCGTCCACTGACTTTAAAATGTTTAATAATCGTTCACTTAAAATTATAATTTGTGTATTGATGAACACAATTACATATATAAAATTGGTAGTTTTCAGTTTATAATATGCTATGTTATCAATATGACAATACTATGATTTTTGTTTTGAGAAATAAAGATCTTTAAACATTAGCAAGATTCTTAAGAATATATTTATATATTTAATTAAATAAATATTAAAAGCTAACAATATAGTTATAGCACATAAATATTTTAACGTAAAGTCGTGCACTAAAATACTATATTATGTATAAGATTTTAACTCGCGCAAAGGACCTAAACAAGTTAGTATTTAAGAAGTACCTAGTATAGGTTTATCGTACGAGCGGGTGGTAATTGTGAAATATAAAACGAATCCTATTGGTGCACAGCCTGTAACAGAAATTCTAACGCACGACACACTGAAAATTTTATATAATTTAATCTCAATAAACCCATACTTTCGATAACATATATTGTATTTCAGTTTCGCGCGGAACTCATAGATTATTTAAAAAAGATAAGTGGCAAAACTCAGTCATTTAACGCATTCAAGGAGTACACAGACAACGATTATAATAATACCTTTTTCGATTATTTAACGGACGACGATGTTAGAAACTCTATTCATGTTGGCGACATTAAATTCTCATTACAAAATTACGCTGGCTTAATTTATATGAAGGATGATTTTCTCGCAAATGTCACTGTGACAGTTGAAAAACTACTCGAACATTACCGGATTCTTATATATTGGTAAGTAATATAGTGACAAAATTAAGTTTATTGAATTTATACTTCTCTTGGCGCGTTAGGGAAAAATTATGAGAGTAAATTTTTACGATGCGCGCGCACACCGTCACAAATAACCGATACCCGGAAGTTAGCTACCTAGGTAAGACTGAAAATGTTTAGAAAATAAAAAACGGCTTAATGTAGAAAGTTGCCAATATTTTTATTGTTTTTCGAAGTAATCTCCATTACTCTCTACACATCGTCGCATTCGATGAAACCACTGAGAAAAGGACGTCCCTCACGCGGATCATCATTGAGATTGCTACGTCCACGATTAAACTCGTTAAACCAATTGTAAATAATGGCACGAGATAGGGCTTCATTACGAAATGCTAATTGCAGCCTATCATAGCTTTGTTGTTGAGTAAGCCCACAACGAAAGTCATAATAAATCATTGTCCGAAAATTTTCTCGCGTTAGGTTCATTTTCATGTGTAGCAAGAGTTTTAGATTTGCCGCCAATTCACAAAAACAAAGGACAATTGAATGCAATATATTAACATTAGGTTACCAAAGAGTTCTAAAATTAAAATTCAAAAAATGTTTTCATTAGCAATGGTTCTAACTGGCCAGTTCTTAACATTTTCAGTGTTACCCACGTATAGTCAACATTTTAGTTTCCTCTATTGTTAGTGTAATTTTTTCTACAAACGTAGAATAATATTTTTGAAAAGATTTTCATCTTGATATGCCAAAGAAGTACAACTTCTAACACTTGTACATAAGTACACACACGCTTTTTTTAGCCTAAAATTGTTACAACTTATTTTCGTTACAGTGGTCACCTTTCTCTATCTATTCCTTGCGTACCACTTGCTAACCATATACGTAAGACTTGGCACTGGAATAAACGGGATGATTTCTTAAACGCACCCCGAGTTCCATGGTGGTTTAACGATAACATCGCTGGGTGAGTATGGCTTACGTATTAATTTAAAAACTATACCTTTTTTTTTTAATTTTTAATCCATCTGCAATCAGCCTCATGGCTTTTATCAGATTTTATAAGAAATAATCGCAATTAGGGAAGGCAAATCCAATAATTTCTATACCTAAATTACATATTTCAAGTATAATTTACATTTAATTTAAATGTTAAAAAAAACAGTTGAAAATCAACGCTATACCTTTCCGAGAGCTTGCATTTGTAACACAGATTTAAAGCTTTAACTGTTTTGTCCTTGTTTCTCTCCAAACACATTGTAAATAAATAAGCGTGACAAAATATGTTACTGTTACCTTTATAAATGTGAAAACATAGCAACAAAAATTAATAAAATGTCCATAAATATGTATTAGAGGTTATAAAACAAAAGACTTAACGAGGAAAGAAATTCGCTTGTTTGTTACACAGTCTACTGCAATCATAGACACGCGCCTCTATCCGCCGTTTCATTTGACCAATCACAGTCAAGCGCGCTATTCGTTAACATTCTCACGTTTTTATTAACATGTGAAATGGAACGCAATAAATATAAAAATAGTCTTTAGTTTATGCACGGTACCTAAAAGGCGCAAGAAACATCGTGTTATATAAATGTAAATTAGTGTTTATATTCGTTTAATATTTATTCCAGGTACATTAAGTCGGGTGGTAATTTAATGGAGGTTTTAATTACCAATACTGGTGACCTAATATCAGTGGATAAACCAGCAGAACTATTACACGTCGTTACGAATTTCATTAAAAAAACCGAACAATACTTTATCTTCCCACCATCATTCCTTACCAAAGACATAGTCAGCGTGCCCTATGTTGAAGCGGTGAAAATCGAACCCACCAGTTATAAGACTGGTTTGACTATAAGTGCTATTATAAATGTTATTTTAATCGCAGTTGTATTGTTGTTTGGCATTTTCTTGATAAGATACAGACGGAACTTGAAATTATTTCGTCCAGTTAATGAAGCTGATATTAATATGAGATAACTTCATTTTTGTTTTATACCTGCATTTGTTAAATTGTAATCTAAAAGCTATTTTCAACTAATTATAAATAAAATCAACGAATTCCTGTTATAAATTCATATATGCTCTCTTTATTAGTACTTTTCCAAACTATCATTTCGATATCGATTTGTAAATCGCTTCAAATGTGATATTTTTTAAAGAATTCTTTTAATTTCACCGGGACTCATGATAACATATATTTTCCAATTTCCCGTTACCCTAGTAATAATAATCGAGTAGTATTATATATTTCTATGAAAAGAAGAAAGTAAGAAAGAAGAAGAAGAAACGTGTATTATGTGAATTAAAAACGTAGCATTTATTTGGGTTATCTTAAGACTAATTGTATGTTCATTTGTTTATTTTTTTATAATCAAATTATATTTTTCGAAAAGCAAAATTGTTTTTAATTCAATAATTAATCTATTTTCTAATTTGAACTTCTTACTTTAAATTTAAATTCTTATTCATAATAAAGGTTGTTATATATGAATTGGCTTTAAAATAAAAATCCACTAAAAGCGTGGGTTGTGCTCGATAGACGAAAAATATGGCACAGAGCGCCCCACGCTTTTTCACAATAATACCAGTATTTTTTGTTCATTACCATTTTCAGCCTAAATTAGGAATTATTTTTCACTTTTTAGTTTGATGTGCTTTAAAAGCGTGTTTTTTAGTTTTTTTTAATTATTATTTATTTTTTATCTTTTTCATTTTTTTTTCGGATTATTGCATTGTCATCGATCTTTGAATTAAATCTGTCCGTTAAAAGTGGGTCAAAATCGAGTCCGAAGGAGTCGGTTACATACATACATACAGGTGAAGCTAATATAAAGCGTGTAAAAAGAAAGAATAGATGGGAGGACGGACACAGTGGATCCAAATTGGATGATTCAGCAAAATCCAGAAAATACTGGTTCACTCAAGGAGGCCTTAGGGAGGAGGGGTTCTTGCAGAACATCTACCAAAAACCTATTTAATCTTGTTATAAAATCAAAGAAAACATGTCATTAATTTAAAAAATAAATACACTTTTATGTTTCTCCACTAAGTAATTACTTTATAGATATAGATTTTATTACTAGATAGAGATTTTTTATTCATTATGTTTTTAACTTATTTTATTTCTTGCACTCATTTCACTGTATTCACTTATTTCACCAGTATTTGTCGCCCTTGTCTCTTCAGTTGTCATGCCCAAGATTTTTTTACAATTCAACAATTTCGTTGTAATTGCACGTAAAATAATGTTCGCTTCCTAAATTGGCGCCCCAAAAAACTGCCGCCCAAGGCTCCAGCCTACTCAGCCTGCTGCCCTGCGATTCTGTAACTCACTTTTCGAACTCACTCAGCGGTTTTCGCAACGGCGGTCGCTCTGAAATCAGTCGTGAAGCAGTCATTTTATGATTTGGCATTCTAATAAACAATAAACTACAAGCTTCCACCTTTTCAGAATGCCAAATCATAAAATGACTGCTTCACGACTGATTTGAGAGCGACCGGCGATCCGAAAACCGCTGTGTGAGTTCGAAAAGTGAGTTACAGAATCGCAGGGCTGGTAAATCCGCCACAGTATTTCACGCATTTCATTCAATTTATTTATTTTATTATTAAATATATATAATATATGGATATCCGCTGAGCTGTGTTAGGCTCAAGACTTTGCAATGTTTTGTTACCTCACTTTTTGCAACAATTGTAAGTTAAATAGCATATAACCTATAAAACTTTGTTCTTGATCCGTCATTGCGAAAAAAAAACAAATTAAAAAATGATACATGGTCTGTAGAAAATATTTATAGATCTTTATATTCAAGAATAAATTTATCAATGATAAACTTGGCGATTTCTGGTTGTTCACTCGGCACCATGTGACCCGCGCGCCGTAATAGCACATCAGCGAAATTCCCGCCATTCTTCTTGAACCTGCAAAATTGCATATACGTTTTACGTTTCTTCTTTTTTCTGATTATTTATACAATAAAATAAATAAATACAATCAGAATTCACAAAATTAAATGAAATAAGTCTTTATAAAGATAAAATATATCTGGTCTATATATTCTTGAAGCCTTGTTGTATGTCCAAAAAAATATAAACGATTTTAAAACAAATGGTGACTTTCACCAGTATAATACGCGAAATAGAACTAATTTGAGTGTAAGACCAACCAGGCTCCAAAAGATAAACCACTCCTTATATGGAAATTGTATTCGTTTTTACAACAAACTCCCAAGCGAAATTAGAGTATTATCACTTAATAAATTCAAAGCCCTCGTTAAACGAAAATTAATCAACAAAGCTTTTTATAAATTTGAGGACTACTTAAATGATCCTAATCCTTGGGATTGAATTGCTCCAGTTCAAACAATTTGTATGACAATACTTGGCGATTAAAAAGAGTGGCGGAAAGTTTCTTGCCAGTTCTTCTTACCCGCCCTTGACTTGCGAACTGGTAGTAAATGTAAATTTACGATTAATTTAACTTGACGATTCAAAAGTGTACTTGGTTACCCACTTGAATAAAGATATTTTGAGTTTGAGTTTCAAAATAACTATTAATAATAATAGCCTTTTAATTCAGATACTTTTACATTTAAATACGTTTCTATGGCATCTTCCTTTCGGTATCTCTGTGCCCTTTTTTGACAAAGGCCTCCGCCAAATCCCGCCATTCCTCTCAGTACTGTGATCATCATCATGACCTAGTCGGTGGTCTGACGACATCTTCGAGGAGGTTGGATTCCAGTGGATGCAGAGACCTCAGTGGCAAGGCGTGTTGGAGGAAGGTGGAGGAGGCCTACGTCCAGGAATGGACCAAAACAGAGGCTGAGGATGATGATTAATTGGAGTATGCGTAATACAGCAATTATGGTTTTGTATTGCTTTTAGGCGGCAAGTTCTTTCTATCCATAATCTACACAAAGTGGCATTGAATTGGAACAATGCAAGGTTTTTTCTGTCTCGTTTCTGTTCTGTTAGGTGTACCTATATAAAAAATATTTCCAGATACTTACGCTACAATTCTCTTGTTGCCAGCATTGCGCAGACGCCGTCGTGGGGCCTCCACGTACTCATCTCTTTTTGACCATTTTAAGCTCGAGTAGAGGTTTATTGATAAACCATATGGCAGCATCACATCCAACTGTCCGCTAGGAATTATTATTACACATTGTTGAAAGTTATTCTTCTAGTTTTCTTCCAAACGTCAGGCAAATACATGATAGATACTTGACATGTTTTATTTCCAATAAACAAATATATTGTATATTTGTTTATTTACAATATTCTTAACCTACATAGTAATAATAATAATTAAAAATAGGTGAATATTGAAATAAAACAAATGCGGCGAGAAAATGCTTCCAGCATTATGTACATTCTATAGGGACCAAACTTTTTACATTTGTTTTACTTTCTATTTATCAATTTTTAATTATTAATGTTATTATGTTTATAAAATTCCAATAAAATGCCTTCAAGGAGTAATACATGATTAATTTATTAAAAGAAGATAAATTCATGAATTTAAAATTAACAAACAACGTAATAAGCCACGTTTTTAAACTTTCTCTTTACTTGCTCACCATTCATAATTCAAAAAATATATCTTATTTGCGATGCGGGGCTCCACACGGGCAACCCTGACCCGTCAACCTTTAAAAACTATATGTCTGAACCTTCTTATCTATACTCTGATATCCAATATACATACAATTGCTTTCAATTGATAAATTAATTTTGAAAATCAGTTCAGTAGTGAGTTATGTAACCTAACATTAGTTACGTACAAAAAGTAAGCAATCATCGCACACTTGAAGCCAAAATTAGCCCTTTAGTTTTAACCACACTCATAAATTGTAATTTAACATTCTCGTTTCCGATAATGTCCAAAACATAAGTGTCACTTCGATTTGTGAACCTTTAGGTAAGCCAAGTTAGTGTTTGTTAACGTCGCAACTTAACCTAATTTAATGTTTTAAGCTCATATTTTAAACGATTAAAGACAGTTGTTACCCAGCTTCAAACAAAGTGTTTCATTTAACATATCAACAACAACCGCCACCGAACTTACCTAGTAAAAAACGTGTGTGTACTTATGTACACGCGTTAGAAGTTATACTTCTTTGGCGTGACAAGAAAAAAAACTTTTCAAAAATTTAATCCTTTGCCAAATTCTACGTTGCAGAAAAACGTAATTTGTTTCTAAAATGTTGAGTATAGCTAACTTCAGGGTGTCGGTTTTTTGTGACGATGTGCGCGCGCATCGTAAACATTTCCTTTCATCATTTTACTAACGCACCGAAAGAAGTATAACTTCAATAAATTCCAGCTACTTACTTACTTAATAAATAAGAATTACCTATAACACAAAACTCCATAGTGCTCCAGAAGTTCTTCAACGAACGGTTTCGTTGTATTCATAATATCTATCTGCATTTTTTCATACACCAGCTGATTATTTAAATCAAAAGATGCATTGCCTGTATGTATGTGGGCTCTGATATCTTCTCGCTGCACGAACTCCTCAAACGCCGGTACGCTGTTGTTTTGCTCTTCGTTGAAGTTAAATAAACTTACGCCGCTGTGTTTCTTTATGTACTCCAGGGTTTTGTTAAACGCCTAAACAGATGTAATATTTGTTTCAAAGATACGAAGATTTTTATTCCTTTCTGTCCATAGACAATTCTACTTGTCGCTGGTATTTTTAAACGATCTACAAACCCGAAGGCGAAGTCTACTAAATTATTTTAGATATTAAACACTGGCGAAACCCGACGTTTTTGTATGCAAGTTCAATATACCAATGACGCTACAAACGTTTAGGTCTAGGTTTCAGATTTCTGAATCTGTTTCGTGATCATTTCTAATAGGCAAGTAGGTGATCAATGATTAGATGAATCTCAAATGAGGTGGATCCTGTGCCTGACACACGCTGTCGACTTTTTGGGTCTAAGGCAAGGTCTTTCCTCACGATGTTTTCCTTCACCGTACGAGCGAGTGTTAAATGCGCTTATAGAAACGCCATTGGTGCAGTGAGTGGTTAAACTAGTTGAGGGAACCTATAGGTCGGAGAAAGAGAGTCGGAAAGAGTCAAGCCCCACTCAAATATCCGCCAACTTTATAATAATTCTTACCAATGCGGCATCTAACATTTTCTCCTCCTTTATGGCCTGAATGGCGCTGTCTTCAATTGTTTTCAGCACTTCAAGTTCCCGACTTTCGAGAAGACCAAGTATTCGACAGAATTCGGTGTAATGCAGCATGCTCAGAGGGTCTATCAAGCCATTACCAATTGCAATACCCTGAAAATTACAAAAAGGATCAAAGAATTTTAAATGTTTTCCTGCAAATATGTAATACATTTAAAAAAAGTACTTTCAAAAAATACTAAGGTTCCATACCGGCATATACCGTTCCACATCTGAACGTTTCTTGAGGCAGTTTTTGCCCTGATGCCCACTGAAGTATTTTCTAACCAATTCGACTTAGGGTCCTTCAACAAAAGAGCGTACCAACTCTTAAAAGGCAAAGCACTAGCGAGCCCTCTGTGAGTGTCTATGGGCGGCAGTATCACTTAACATCAGGTGAGCCGCCTTTTCAATAAAAAAATATAGTTAAATTCTCTGTCTTATCCAAATTGGTCAGAACGTTATCTCACTTGTTACCCACTTGAAACTTACAAAATCTAGAATGTAAGATAATTACCAAAGCGTAGAAATATTTTTCAATATTACTTGAATTGGAATGATTTGCTGTAATAGGAGAGTTGTAGAGGAATTCAAGAGGCAAAATAAGATCAAGCAATAAAAAAATAATTTATATAAACGCAAACAATATTTAGTTCAAGAGATTTTGCCGAGTTTCGCAAGACAGAAAAAAATAGGTTACAATGTATTTTGACAACAATAATCCCGACTAAAGTTTTTTTTATTGTTGACATCAGCGCTACGGATATTGAAAGAACTGAATGAAGCTCTGTATAGATTAGCGGAATCGCAAATTGGAAGTTACAGAGGACCCTTGATGTTAATGCTGCCTATTAGATACCTAGTTGAAGGATCGCGAGTACGTTTCCTGCATTTAAGAAACGGTAGCCTTACAAATATTTCACTAAGGCACGTTTATGTTTTATTTTTATGTAAAAGAGGGCAAACGGGCAGGAGGCTCACCTGATGTTAAGTGATACCACAAGTGCGTTGCCGGCCTTTTGGTACGTTATTTTCTTGAAGGACCCTAAGTCGAATTGTATTTGAGAGTCAAATGTAATTCGCGATATTTGTTTTAAAATAAGTGTTGTTTGATGATTTGCTATTTTAAAAGAGTACCGAGAGTTTTTTACGCCGGCTTTTTCTCTCGGCCTACACCCTCTGTCTTCTTTGCCGATGAGTAGGGTTGTCTACCGATTCAAATTTAATGACGTGGTGGAATAAGTGATACCTGTATTTTATGTTCCATAATAAACATTTTTTTATTTTTTATTTTAATTGGTTCGGAAATATATCGGCGGGCAGCTGGTTCCACATATTAATAATAAAAATAATTAAACCTTCAAATTAATTGGATGCTTTTCCATTCTTCTATGTATTTGAATGGCCAAGGCGGGTACGTATTTCCCAGCGTATGATTCACCAGCAACAAACAATGGTGCTTCTTGTAACTCCGGAAAAATTTTCAGGAATTGGACCAGAAATGTATGCATTTGATCTCCAACCTGGAACAAAACTTTATATTCTAAACTACCTGACCAGGCAAACGTTTTGCCAAGTACATATATTATGTCTAGGAGACATTTTTTAGTTCAATAAAAATAACTATCTACTATAATAGGTTGATCGCAGAGGGTTCAGGTTCGAGTTAAATGCGCACATAGAAAGAAAGTCCATTGGTGTACAGCCAGGGATCGAACCTACGACCTCCTCAGGATGAGAGTCGCACGCTGAAGTTAGTTATCTCATTTATGGAGGATTCTTCTCCGCTCCGAATAGCAGAATAAGGAATAAAATATCGGAAAAGTTATCAAATAACAATAAATTAATTAATTTTTTGAATGCAACGGCATGAGTTGACAATACGTCGCAACATTTTACATTGAATTCATGTCAGTTCAAGAAATTCCGATCTTGAGGTGAATGAGGAGATGCAAAACTAGGCTTTGATCTTGATCGAAGACATGTGTTACCTCATCAAAAATGTATATATCAGAAAGTGTTTTAACATGTAAAAACATTTCTGTATTTGCAAAAAAAGTTGTATTAATGAAATCCTAAGTTAAGTTTAACTAAAGTTAACACGCTATTATTAGACTGTTAGGCGGAACGAAGTTAGCCGGGTCAGCTAGTATATAAAATAAAAATAAATATAAAAAGGGAAAAGCCATCATAATTGATGTTTAATTTATAATCACTTACATCATCTTCATTATCCGTGTAGCCTCGATCATCGCCCGTGAAACTAAATCCGGTTCCCACAGGGTTGTCCAAGAAAAGCATGGAATAGTCGGAGTTCCAAGAAAATTGACGTTTTTTGACTGTAAATTTACCATTGATAAAGCTTACTGCTTTATTCTAGGTCTAAATGAGCTAGCGACGGATAGTGTCTGACAAAAAAAGCATTGCAAAATTCTATACTTTCTATAGAATATATGGAAGTCTAGCTCCCACGATACGGGGAATCCTCGTGTGGGCCCCCACACTTTCTTTTTTAATCACACATCCTTTTTATTATGTATAATTAAGTATGTTCTTTCTTTATTTAATTCTTATTGCAATGTGCTAATTGTACAGATACCGGCAAACATTTTGAACATTAAACAAGGGAGTGGGGTAAAGTTTGCGCAGCGCGGGACACAAACGTCCACTGATTTACCAATCACGCGGTCGACACGTCATCCCAGTGATACCTATAAATCGCTTCTGCGCAGGCACGGACATTTGGTCAAGATGTTTTCCGGTATCTGTACTGAAGTTTTATGGGTGCACTGCTAAAACTACAGGTAGGCACATTAGTATTACAAAATGACGTCCGCCGTTTCCCAACAGCGTTTTTCAAGACAGTTGCCGCTCACCACCGCTATGAACCAGCTGCCTACTGAAGTATTTCCGAACCAATTCGATTCTAATATAATATCATCGTCTTCTTCATCGTCTCATTCATTAAAGTATCGCACTATGTTTAAATTCATCATTAGATAGTAATAAACGTAGAGGAAAGTGACCAAATATGGGATAGTATCCCTAATATGGAATACCCCTATTTCTCTCAAATGCAAACTCACATACGCAATAAACAATTATTTTCTGTCTCTTTCTACTCCCGTTTACGCATACAAGTTGTAGCATGTCAGTCGAGCACTTGGCATTCGTCGTTGTGACAGTTTTTTGTTTTGTCGCTACAACATAACTTTCTAAGGTATGTAAAAAATACGTATTTTTCGTAAAGAAAGTGCAAACAGTATTGATTTTATAGCTTTTAGAGACTGTTTAGACGTTCTTTAGTTTGTTTTAGCGGTATTAGATGATATTGCTTTCTTAAATATAAAAATCTGAATGTCAGTTTGAAATCGTTGAAAAATCCAAATATGGACAGATCACAGTACCCAATTATGGACTATTCCATAATTGGTTCTCTGAAGTATCAGCTGACATGATGATTTTGTTAATTCTATATTTTTTTCATGTTTTACCAGAATGGCGTGCGTCAACTCGAAAACAAAACGAAAATAATGGATTCAGAGCATATGGCGGAAACAATAAAATTAGTAAGAGAGAAAAAAATGGGTTATTTAAGAGCTGGAAAATACTTTAATGTGCCCAGCTGGAAAATACTTTGTTTCGATTATGTCAGAAAAACGAATTTTCTCCAGAAGAAGCCCCAGCTACTACACTTAGAAAGAAAACTGTCGTGTTGGCAAAAAATAAGAATTAAAAACAGAATGAGAAAATATCATAAGGAAAAAAACCAAAAGAGAAGACTAAGGCTAATTCAGATGATGAGGTGGTGATGATATTTGATACAGACAGTGAACCCGATGCCTTGATAGGATATACAGCTCCAGACTCTGAAGATTCGGAGTGTATATTCTGTGGTGGGCTGTTTTCGAATGATAAAATAAAATAAAAAATAAAATAAAAATAAATTGCGCTGGGCCAGAGTTTGATACCTGGATTTGTGATTTTTGTAAATAATTTGTGTACATTTCTATATTATACCATGTTTCCAAAGAGTCTCTTGTAAGTTAAGGTTAATTTTTGATAGTGTTTATAGTATTACATATTTGGGGTACCTATTCCATATATAGGTACCTAAATCTTTATTTAGTTTCTTACATTTTTTCTTACTTTAAACTAATCAATAAAACCTAAACTTATTACAAACTTAAGTGCAAATATATTGTTGTTAATAATTACCACAAACAGTTTTTTTTTTTATAATACATGTGGAAATTATGCCTAAAAATCAAAATGGTATTCCATATTTGGTCACTTTCCTCTATTAATCATATTTTGATTTCTATGACAAACAGCTGTTACTACATATATAAATAACCAGCGGCCATCTTGTTAACCCTCCGATACTGAGTAGTTAACTTTTTTGACTAATGGTTAGATATTTGACCATTAGTTTGTCTAACCACGGGTCAAAAAAAGCATTTTGCTGTTATTTAACTAATAGTTAGGATATTTAACCAATAGTTGAGTTAACTACGGATTAAAAAACCGGCCCTTAGGGTCCTTCAAGAAAAGAGCGTACCAATTCTCAGTGACAACGCACTCGCGAGCCTTCTGAGAGTGTCCATGGGCGGCGATATTACTTAACATCCTGGTGATCCTGCCTGTTTGGCCCCTGTTCTATAAAAAATGTTATAAGCATCAAACTACAGAGTGTCAGCATATAAAATGCTTTTGTTTATTCACTGTTTATAGCTGTCCCGTTAGTATAGATCAACTGAAAAGTGTTCCTGGTGACAGGAATTTAAAGTTGAGTTGGGCCCGTTTTTGATTCAAGTGATTGTATTGTATTTCTTTTATATTTTGGTTGGCCAAAAAGTCGTGGATCAAACGCAACTAGGGGATAGATGAGGTCATCAGCTGCAAAAAAATGTTCTACGGGACGTCCATAAGCTCAACCCTGCAGAGTTATAATTTATTTTGCGTTTTTATAAGAAAATTGACTTTTTTTACTAATTCTTATTAAATTCGAAGAAATCCTGTATCTTTTTCATAATATCCACTAGATTGGTACTGATGAGTCCTTGCGTTAGACATACTATTTATAGTTGTTTATTCAGTGTATTGAAGATAATATTAAGTTAAACGATATAAAAATTTCTCAAATCATTTTTTTGTTTATTTCGGACCCCACTGTGAAAAAAAATACTGTACCGAAAAGTGACCCTGTATTACAAGTTCGACGCATTTAATAGGGCGTTGCGTTTGATCCACGACTTTTTGGCCACCCTGTATATGTGAGGTTTCAACAAATAAACGTTTTATCTTTTTACTAAAATCGTATATTACCTTTCCCACTACTAACATCTAAAGGTCCGTTAATATCAAACAGGCCTTTTAGCGATGTATAACCAGGGCCTCCTTGAAGCCATATAATCAGGGGTGTGGTGCTTATGTTCCCTTTAAACGGGAAATACCAGAAGAAAAGATTCGAGTCGTACTTCTCATTGACCGTGATAAACCCCGAATGGCTCTTTATGTCTAGAAATTGAGTGGAGTTTACTTCTGACAGTTGCTTTGCGAGGTCTGTACTACCATTCTTGATGTATGGGGTTAGTATCAAGCAGTCTCCGCACAGTTCCTGGGATTTTACGCTGATTACACTGAAATTAGAACTATTTTTAAGCCTTTATCAAGTTTATTCATTGTGTCAAGTTTACCACATCATACATAGTAAATATACGGTATATGTTACAAACTCTTATCTAAAATGTAGGACAATTTAGGTAAACATAAATGGTACAAGAAAAAAAAAATTAAAATATATATGTTAAAATAAAAATACCAGAAATTGTTGATCAGCACAATAAAATAAAAAGATTACCAGCAATGCTTTCTTTAAAACCGATCAGTCCACTACCGAATATATCCAGCTCCGGATAAGTACTTTTTAATCGGTTAAAATCGCGATTATTCGCAAAACAGTTTGAAATTGAATGAAAACAAAATAGTGATATTATGATCGAGTATCTGTTAGTACCGTCACTACCGGGACTTATACGATCAGACATTTGTCGGCTATTTAATAATATTTTTTTAGGCAGTGGTTCCATCCCTACTGAAACAAATAACCCGGGAAACCAAAACAATGGAAGGCGGTAACAATCTTCAAAATTATGGCCTTCTAGATTTAATAAGCAAAAGAGAATTGATTGCTTTTTATATTCATTATATCTAATATCTAGACTTTGCCTGCCAGTATTTATTTATTTTCAAGAAGAATGTATTGCATTATCATTATTTTATCGATTGCACTTTGAAGTGGTCTTTATGTCACGCCTGTTACCCAAAGGAGTAGTCCCACAGTCCACAGAGCTCCATAACACAGCTACATAAATATCTCGCTTCCTCCACCTACTTAACCTAGAGTGTGTTGGACCTGCCATTTTTCAAGTGAATCAGTTGCAGAAACATACCAGCAGATCTACCAGCCTCCACCACACTTCTTTATACGTCTAGTTGAATTACATTCATTCTTAATTTAATTAACAAAAAACTTACCATACAAATAATACACAAAACACGGGTAACTTCATCATAACATGAAAAAATGGCGAAATGGCATTTCAGTGTGTCTGATCGGTACGAAAACTTATACCAAACCGTGAAGATAACTCGGTTAATGGTTAATTAAACAAATCTGAATTAAACAGATTTCTGTAGAAGCATGATGAAATGTAAAATAAGCATCTTTTATTCTCCTTATTAATTCCTTTTATTAATCTATCTTGCTTCAAATCTCTTCTGTACAAGCATTACCTGTCAACATTGTATCCCTAACTACCGTACTATTTTGAAATTATCGTGATTCATGTGTTTTTCTGTTTCATGTGCCCCTTTTTCTTTTTTGTGTCCTCTTTTTAATATCCCTTTCACTTATCTTTCTTCTTATGCAGTTTTGCAGTTTTCACTTCTGCCTTATGCAGTTTTGCACTTCTTGCGCTCACCTTATAAATGAAAATCCTCACAGTGGTTGCCTGGAAGAGATCACTCGAAAGTGAAAAGGCCGCCAGTTGCCCTTTTTATTTAATAATTTTAATTGTATTGTATTTCTGTATTACTGCAACAAAGTATATTAATAAATAAATCTATACCAGCTGACCCTGAACACATTGTTTTGCTATAGGTATATATTATTTCCAGGGAATATTTTGATAAATACCTAATTTATTGTGTGTGGTAGAAGTGACTTCTGTAAACGCCTGATGGGGATAACTGGTTACTACTACTAGTTGAAGAATTTCACCTCGACGTCCTTTTCACAATAGTGTTATTTAAAGCAGTGCCGCACACCACCGCTATGTAAAACCAATTGCCCACTGAACTATTTCCGAACCAATTGTACTTAGGGTCCTTCAAGAACAGAATTCTTAAAAGGCTGCACTCACGAGTTCCCTGGATAGTGTCCATGGGTGGGTATCACGTAACATCAGGTGAGCTTCCTGCCGGTTTGCCCCTTGTTCTAAAATGTGAGGGTTGATTAATAGAGTCCTAAAAATATGGAGTGGAGCCTCACTTAAGGGTACAATAACTTACAACCTCAGACCTGACGAAACAAAAAACCAATCAATCCATTTCGAAGGAATTCGATTACAAACACTTTGACACGAGAATTTTACATACATTATAGAGACCATTCGAATATCAACGACGACTACGTATACGAATAAATATTCCAACTACTGGTTGGAATTGAAAAATTGTTTCTGTGTTGGATAGGCCATATACCGAGGCAATAACATCAAATTACATTCCCAGTAACGCGGAGCACAGCAGATACTTGGGAAGCAAAATTATGTGATTATTGGAGACATTTATAATTTCTAACTTAAGCAATTAGTATGGATATAGAATCCAGTATATACTAAGTAAAAATTGGATGATGACGGCATAAAAGTGGGTGGAAAAAGTTGTAGGAGGTCTTCCTGGACAGGTCGAGCCGCATCTAAGAGTATTCAAATTGTATCATGCCTGAGGTCGTAGGTTCGATCCCAGGCTGTGCACCAATAGACTTTCTGTCTATCTGCGCATTTAACATTCGCTCGTACGGTGAAGGAAAACATCGTGTATGAAAGTATGCTTTAGTCCCAAAAAGTCGACGGTGAGTGTCAGGCACAGTAGGCTAATCACCTACTTGGCTATTAAAACAAATGAACACGAATAGATACATAAATCTGAGGCTCAGACCTAAAAGGTTGTAGCGCCATTGGTAAACGAAATATGTAAACAATTAAAATTTGTTATTACGATGAATTACCCCATAACTTTGCCTATATTTTATAAACCAGGCTATATATTCAAATGTAACAATATTATAAGTTCAAATGTATACTAACATATAAAAAAGAACCTTGAAACTAATTTACATTCAATACAGAACCTCGAAGCCTTTTCCAAGCCTATCAGAGATATCTTAAAAAGAACACCGATAACTCGGAACATCAATTTAAATGTAAAGCACACTGTCAGAAAAAACTCCCCACCGTGGGAATATTTATGTACGGACGTTTGTAAACGACTCAATGCTGCATTAACGATTTGAGGCACGTACCATATGTAACGCATCGATGTTTGTTTTACTATCAACAGCCTAAATATAGAGCAAATCACATTTGTAAGCGTGCAAGAATCTATCATAGGGAGCGTGGGAGCGCGTTCATGCTAAACAGGTCATTGGTACCCCATACCTGTTCGCGCATCAATTTAAAGGGTGTCCCGATTGATATATGCATTGTACCAATTTATTAAAAATATTGAAGGGAGTAAATTAGTTAGGAATTTTGAGACTATTTATTGTAAATAAGATTTCTTTAGTGTTTTCTTCTTCTTGTCTTCAATTGTTTTTTGTTTTAGTTTAATTATTTGCTAACATTAACCCTACCGTACCCATTGTACGGTAGGGTTAATGTTTTCTTCTTTTGGTTTTTAATTGGTTTTTGCTATGGTTTTTTTGCACATTTTTGAAGCTATACTTTTTTTGGCGCGTTAGGGATAAATGATGAGAGTAAATTTTTCTATTGTTAGTGTAGATTTTTCTACAAACGTAGAATAAGGCGAATGATAAAATGTTTGAAAAGATGTTTATCTTGATACGCCAAAGAAGTATAACAATAACTTCTAACGTACATAAGTACACACACGTTTTTTTTTCTTTCATTGTAATGGCTATATTTAATGTTTTTTTTTAATGATGTTGATTGACTATATTTGTTTTCGGAACTCTTTCGAATTGTCAACTGTTTACCTTGTTTTTAGATTAATTTTTTTGCTAATATAAGGTGTATTGATATTATTAAATTATGTTTCTATGCATATAAATCACTGTTGTGGTTGATTGGCTGTTTTTTTATCGGTACCTACTCGTGTTATTTGTGTATTGTCAACTAACTGTTTGTTTCCTATTAAATAAAAATGTCAGTGATACCCATGGTAAGTGATAGTATATGTGTCTGCTATTAAAGCTTGTATTTGAAGGTACACAATGACTGTGATATAAAAAAAAATATTTTTTGGTCACTGTATTCAATTCGTGTTAATAACTCTTTTTGTTTTATATCTTATTAGCTAATTTAATACATAATTGTAATATACTATGTTTGTGACATAAATAAATTGTTTTGTATAAGTAAATAAACACGTACAGAATGTTATATACCTAAAATCTACTAACGTTATCTAAGCTATAAAACAAAATATTTTACGCAGCACAGATGTTTAAATTATTTTTACTAACATTCTTTAATAAAGCATTTAAAGCTATAAATCAAAACTACGACTTACAAAAAAATAAATAAAAATCGGAACACCATGTATAAACGATCGAGATAAATCCAAGTTCAAGGCGTAAGCTGTACAAACGAGAATCGGTGGGTATACAAGTTTCCTGACGCTAGTACTACGGCCCATTCTGCGGTGATTGCCCAGGGACACTAGACCATCATCAGTTATCTGCGCCCGCGCATCTCCAAAATGTTCAAATGGCTCGTCTTTCTCACGTAAGTTCATGTTTGTGTATCTGTGAGACAGTGTTGTTATTGTTTATATTCGATTTTCCTTTAATTCTTGCGTTACAAACACGTAACGAACTAACTCCTCGGAAAGTACCGATTTGTTTAAATTTTGTACATTTTGTAGGTCTGATAAATATTTTTAATACCCTTAATTAAGGATGACTTTAAAAAATATTTTCTTAGACAAAATTATTTATTTTTATATATTTTATAATTTCCCATTAAAAATACATAAAACTCTTAATTTTCACTGTTCTATCACCAACCCCCATATTTATTTTATCACAGTCCATTTATCCAGATTATTATTATTATACTTCGAAGGAATTAACGCTGGTGTAACGACACCCAATAACTTAATTAGAATAAATTAACATTATTCTCAACTTCGTTCTATGGAATTAGTAATTACTGTAAAGATAGAATAATGATATGGAATAAAATAAAATAAATAAAAATAAACTTTATTAAATAATACCTGTATATCTGTCAAAGTAAACAATATAATACGGAAGTGAAAGTTTAAAAAAGATGTATCCAGTTTAATTAGCGACAAATTGTTAGCTTAAAATAAACATATTTTTGCATCATATTCTTTAGTACTTGTTAATACTTAGTAAATAACTTTTTCAAGTTTGAAGTCTCGCTTTAAAATGGCGGGAAATTTTTAGAATTTATTTGTTTGATTTTCAAGTTAATTCAAATCAACCAATTAACAGTTATATTCGAAATTCAAAAAAATGTTGGCACGTCATCTAAAATGTTTACTTTCCCTTTTTTATTTTAAAACAAATTAAAAATATATAGATATAATAATTATTGCAAAAATCTAAACATTGAGACTTGTTAAAATGGAATCCAAAAAGGATCAATATCCTAAATTCAATTCATTTCATTAAATCTCGGCTCTATTTGTTTTTTATTAAAGGAACTGGTATTTCAAGTTGCGGGACCGTGGGAATATTATTATGGCGCCACCGAGACTATCTTCATTCTAGGACATAGTTTCGTCACTTAAGTTTGTGCTCTATGCTATTAAGTATTTATAATAATTGGTGCTCTGTGCCGATTGTGTCGAAATTCAAATGTCGAATACGAAATTTATTAAATTTTACCATAACTACAAGAATTTTACTTTTTAATTTATTATGCTCTCTTTCATGTAAATAAAGTCTAGTTTCCAAGACTGCTCGAATGGAAGAATATTCCTCGAAATATATTATACAGGATTAGCCATTATACGAATCGCCCATTGCGTACTAACTAGCGGGTTTTACAAGTTACTTTTTTGCTGTAACTTAAGTGTAACTTATTTATTTATTAAAACTTCGCTGCAAGTATACAGAAATACACGCAACTGGCGGCCTTATCGCTTTCGAGCGATATATATAATAATATATATATATATTTAAAAAAAATAGATAAGGGGAGCGCAAGTGCAAAACTACATAAGACATATTTAGACAACTAATAGAAACAAAGAGAAGCAATTAAAGCATATGTAAACAGTGAAAGGAACAATAATA